TCCTTCTGTTAAAAACCTTAGACATGAGTACTAGATCTTGGAAAGTCTTAAGTTGGAATGTCCGTGGTATCAATTCGGACAAAAAATGGAACTCTATCCGAGACAGAATAATAGAAAGCTTTTGTGACATATCTGTCTTCAAGAAACTAAACGTGCTCAGTTTGATGTAAATTTCATCCAAAAATTTTGTCCCCCTTCCTTTGATACTTTTGATTTCATCCCCTCTGTTGGAGCCTCAGGTGGCTCCATTGTTATTTGGAAGAACTGCTTTTTTAGGGGCACTCGTGTTTTTCACAATGAATATGCTGCATCTATTGAGTTCACCTCTCTGCGTAATGGGACCACCTAGATTCTGACTAATGTTTATGCACCATGCACTCCAGCTGGGAAAAGAGATTACATTCACTGGTTTAAAAACATCCAGATGCCAGACACAGTTGATTGGTTGCATGTAGGTGATTTTAATCTTTACAGAAATCCTGAGGATCGCAATAGACCAGGAGCGGATTTTGCTGAAATGTTGTTGTTTAATGATGCCATTAGTTATCTAGGCTTGGTTGAGCTGTCGTTAAAAGGTCGACGGTTCACTTGGACTAACAAACAGCATCCACCCGTTCTTGAACGATTGGATTGGTTTTTTACCTCGGCCAACTGGGTGCTGTCATACCCAAACTGCTGTGTTTCCACCCTCAGTATGGAGACATCAGATCATGTACCATGTGTAGTTTTTATTGGCACTTCTATTCCCAGTAGGCATTTGTTTCGGTTTGAAAATTACTGGCTAACACATGAAGATTTGAAAGCACAGGTTCAAGTTGGTTGGTTGCCGGGCCAAGTTCATAGTGACCCTGCAAAGAACATTATTGCAAAATTCAAATACCTTCTACATCGTATTAAGCTTGTCTTGGATTTGCTGAATTCTTTTGAAGAATTCAGAGATTTGTCCCTGATAGAATGGAATTTTCATGCCATTTCGGAGAAGAAACTTGTTTTTCTTTTACAACAGCAAAAGGCATATTGGCAGCAGCGAGGAAAGATCAAATGGGCAACTCTGGGTGATGCTAGCACTAAGTTTTTTCATGCCAACGCTACTATTAAGTACAGACGAAATTTGATTACTCATCTAGTTGATGATTCTGGTGTTTCTCTATCTAGCCATGAAGACAAAGCTGCCATGATTTGGACCTCTTTTAAAGACAGGCTTGGCAGGAGTGAGTTCACTGCTATTTTGTTTGATCTTAATCAATACTTCACTCCTCAGGATCATCTTTCTCAATTAGTAGAGCCTATTGAGAAAGCTGAAATTGATCAGATTGTGAAATTGCTACCTTCAGATAAAGCCCCAGGACCTGATGGCTTCAAAAGGGTTGGCCCATTATTTGTGAGGACTTCTATCTCCTATGTAAAGGCTTTTATGATGAGCACATTTGCTTGCAGAGTATCAATAGATCATTCATTACTTTAGTCCCCAAAAAGGATGTTGCTGAAAAGGTTGCTGATTATAGAACAATTTCTTTGTTGAACACTTCTATCAAGATTATTACCAAAATTTTGGCCAACATATTACAGCTAGTCCTACCCTCCCACATCCATAAAAACCAATATGGTTTTATCAAACTCAGATGCATCCAGGATTGCCTAGCCTAGTCACTGGAATATTTGCATATGTGCCATTTGTCCAAAAAGGAGATAGTCATTCTAAAGCTGGATTTTGAAAAAGCTTTTGATAAAGTGGAACACCAGTTGATGCTTCAAATTATGGAAAGTAATGGCTTCCCTCCCAAGTGGATTAATTGGATGAAAATGATTTTTGAATCTGGTACCTCATCTGTCTTGCTCAATGGAGTGCCTGGATAAGTTTCCCATTGTAGAAGAGGTGTAAGACATGGTGATCCTTTATCACCTCTTCTTTTTGTATTAGCTGCTGATTTCTTGCAGACCTTGCTTAATACAGCCTGTGCTAATGGGGATTTTCAACTTCCTATACCCCTTCAACATGATCAAGACTTCCCCATCTTACAATATGATGATGATACACTGATTTGCATGCAAGGTGATATTTCTCAAATGATCTATTTGAAGAATTTGTTGCAACAGTTTGGGGAATCAACTGGACTCAAAGTGAACTTTGACAAGTCCTTTATGGTACCTATCGATGTCTCAGATGACAGATTTCAGCTTCTTGCTACCACTTTTGGTTGCTCCAAAGGTTCTTTACTCTTTACTATCTAGGTTTACCTTTGAGTATCACCAAACCCACAGTTGCAGACTTTTAGCCTCTGGTCACTAAATGTGAGAGACGGTTAGTCAATGTTTCATCCTTCTTAAGTCAGGCAGGTAGGCTGGAAATTACTAATGCAGTCTTTACAGCTCTTCCAACATTTGCTATGAGCACTTATCTTTTGCCTAAAACAATCATTAAGCAAATTGACAAATTTCGTAAACATTGCCTGTGGCGTGGGTCTAATGCTAATAATAGGAAACCTCTTAAAGCTGCTTGGCCAATGGTTTGTGTTCCAAAGGAAGAAGGGGGACTAGGAGTGCTTAATCTACAGACCCATATGGACAATCCGGAACGATGTCATCTTCAGAAACATACCGGCTTCAATCCAACGTTGCAAATCCATCTTCAAGGCAGAGTTTGCTCTAGTTATTCTAAGAGCAAAAGGAAAATATCAACCCCAAATAGATTCATGGCTACAAGCCTATGTGTAATTTTACTTATTTTCTTTGTTTCCTTTTTTGTCTCTTGAGACTTTGTTGTGGATTTGCATTTTTAATAAAGCACAGTAGGGGACCCACCCCCCTGTTTTGATCAAAAAATATTATATATGTGTATTATAAATGTAAATCAAGCCATATCTACCGCATAAATCTTATTTCCTATGTCGTATGACCACCTAGAGAGACCATAAAAATATTTTGTCTCCACCTTGGCCTCTCTTCCATTTCGCAAAATCTATCAAGTGACGAGTCGCCGCCCCTACGACCCATGAGCCCAGCGTGCCCTGCTGCCCATGAGCCCATTTCCTGCCTTCCTCTACCGTCGCCGTTGCCGGAGACAAGCTCGCTGACGTTAGGGGAATGTGTTTTAGGGGATTCCATGGCCAGCGGTCTTAGAAAGGGGAGGGGGGCTGGTGGCAACGGCCTGCTCGGCGGTGGTGGTAGGTTGAAGATGGCGAGCGAGGCGGCGGGGGCACCACCGAGCGGACGATGGGAGACAATCGGTTAGGAAGAGCGGACGATGTTAAAACTCTACTTCTGTTTAATAAAAAATATGTTTCGGCATGGTCACGAAAAAAAAGAAATAAGTGTTCGAAACAACTTAGGATGTAAAATTAGTATGTATTAAACCCATAGTTATGTATTAAACCCGTAGTGTGACAACGTATGATTTATGACTGTCATGTTATCCTGCACGTAGTGGGGGACAAACAGGTGGTGTGCTCCGGGTGAAAACGGTACGGATATTTTCCGATCGTATTCGAGGCCGAATCCGTTTAGAGGAGAATTAGATCTGTCCGTATCTGAGTCTGGATATTCAACATCCGATATCGTATCCGTATCCGAATACTCAAATCGCATATTTGTGATGTCGATGTCTAATTGTATCATATCCGATATGGTTGATACTATCCGTATTTGAATCCGAATCCAGACACAAATATAAAAGCAAATGATCCGTTTTCATCCCTAGCTCCGAGGGATTAATTAGGTTCAGCCAAGCGAGTCGAGTGGTTGATGTGACAGTCATTTGCATTGAATATATCCACAAGCAAACTTGAGTGTATTCCACTACATTGAATATTTCCACCTCGGATCAAATGGACTTTGAAACTTGAGTGTATTACACTGAATATTTCCACCCTCGGGTCAAATGGACTTTGAAACTTATGTATTCCATTACACTGAAATCTGCCATTTTACTCAAGGGCTTGTTTAGATTGTCTCAAAATTCCAAATTTTTTCACTCTCTCTTCATTACATCATTTTTTAGACGCATGCATAGAGCATTAAATATAGATAAAAAAATAACTAATTATACGGTTTGGTTGTAAATCACGAGACGAATCTTTTAAGCCTAGTTAGTCCATGATCGGACAAAGTTTGTCAAATACAAACGAAACGTGCTACAGTGTCCAGATTGTAAAAATTTGCAATCTAAAGAAGGCCCAACAAGCAGGACATGACGGACAGGTTATTTTCTGCAAGCTGAAAGCTAATGTGTGATTTAAAACTGTATTGGCTTATAAGCCGTATTTTTTCAGCCAACGAACAGTATTTTTCTCTCACAACAAATCAGTCAACGGTACTTTCAACCATGGCTTATCAAACAAGCGAACAGGGCAATGTGACCACCTTTTTTACAGATCCAAGTTTCTAAATATATATAACTAACAAACGGATAACAACTGCACCGGCAATAGGGTATAACTTTAAGATAATAACAAGAACGGTACAAATGAAAAATGTTAATCTCTAAGCGAAGACTGGGATCCTAGAATTTTGGTTTCGAACAATAATTTTGCATTATAGATCAAGCGAGACAATGTGAATCAATGAAGCTGCATTTGTATATATGCTTGTATCTGTAAGAAGGCAATTGAGCCCATATCAAGTACTGCATACATTGCCCTCAGGAGCTGAATTTTTAGATCTAGGTTCCTATATAGTATGACCACCTGCAGAGACTGTCAACTTTCATTGTCCCTTCTGCAACCTGTCGCAGTAAGCTGCTAGAAAAAAGAGCAGAGCAAAGTAATGCACTGAGCGATTGCAAATTTCTGCACTACAAAATCCCCTCCCCTTTTTTTTCCCTCCTCACAGCAGCAAAGTGGATTGTAGAACTACACATAACTCTAGATCGATGGATCTCTTCTCGGCTTTGAGAAGTGTCCAAGATGCTAGGGCCTGCAACATCTACACCGCCCGTTGTAACTTAACTCTAAAAGCACTTCTTTTACCATCAGAAATCTAAATGTGCTTTCGAGCTCAGCAGATCAAATAAAAGAGCTCAAAGCATCGTATGATACAGTGTTTGTTGGATTATCTGTACATTGGTGAAGTTGAGAAACTTTGAATTCCGCACCCTTGCAGGTTTCTGAAAGAGGGGGTTTGGCATACCCCCCTAGTACTCCTTGAATGACAACTTTGTAACTCGCCTCAGTGAAGTGTAAACCATCCCATGAGATGTATTTTGATGGGTCAGGGCACACTGTAGATCCAGGACGCCCGCACAATATTGAAGGGGAACAGTTGTACGGAGCATCACTTCCACAGCACGAATTCAGTGGAACTGTGAAACCTGCAACAGCATCTCTTGTTGCTTAGTAAATAAACAAAGGTAAATAGAATAGCTTTATTTCTCTAAGCTTCTCTACGTAGGTTCGTTGTGCTGGGTTACTGCAGCCTATTTAGATATGATTGAGCTTCAGTGCACTGTTCAATTATATAATATTCAGATGATGAGATATGCTCCACAGGTGTAGGCAACAAAAAGAAAACCATAGATTCAAGGATAAGGATGGTACCGAAATTTATGTCAAATAAGAACACAGAATCAGGCTAAAATTTTGACCAATAATTAGTTACAAAACATGGATTATTTCCGACTATTTTGGTTTAGGTGCCACTCTAATAAGAGCTAAGCATACGTAATGAAGCACTGTAGAACAGTTCAAAGTTGATTCGAAGCTCTGCCGGTAGGTTGCAGACTGGATCGACAAGTAATTGAGCCATGTTAACGTCTAACACAGGTAAAGTAGTCCAGTCACATAGTCCTCCCTCCGGTCCGATTTATAAGGCGCAGTTTGACATGACACAGTCTCCTAACTTACACTTTGACCATTCATTTATTTTACATTATACTGTTTGTAGTTATAAACTCATGATTATTAGATGGTATATTTTGTTACAAATCTAACCATATGAAGTTTGTATTATAATAGTTAAAAATTGTTAGCCAAATTTTGCTTAAAGACTGTAAATTCTGAATCTTGATATGCGTAAACACCTTATAAACTGGACCAGAGGGAGTAGGTATGAATTATTAAGATGAGTCCACTGCCTATTTACCAAGTTATACAACCTAATCAATAAAGTGATAATAATATTATCCACAACCAATTTAGAGGCTCATCCTGGAGATTCATGAACTAAGGCTAAGGTAAATGAACCAAGCAATACTTGACCTGGCAAATTGCAAAGCCTTCAACAAAAACAATGCATGTATGGCATAATAGAAAATGCACATATGTAAATTCCAAAAACCTAACAAAAGGATACATATGGCACCATGTGAAACAAAATGGACACGGAACAATAATATATATATATATATATATATATATATATCCATGCTTGTCCCAAACAATGTACTGTGCAATCAAGAAATCTGGAAGCTAGGTCATGCAAGATCCTTGAACATGTGACAGTATTTTCACTTTTCCAGGATTTTTGAAACATTTCCATGTATCAAACAATATGATAGGTGCAATCACCCGCTTACAACAAAAAGTCGACATCACTTATATTATATTTTTTTAGTTTTTTTTATTTGAAAATGGTACTCACCAAACTGGAGTGGGGTACGGAATATGTTCAATGCAGCACCATAATAATCAGCATAAATGATGGTCACATCAGGGTGAAGATTCCTGAGTTTCTCCAACTCCTCCTGAAGCATCCTATTATGGTACTCAGCAAATTCATTAAGCCACTTAATGCAGCCTGTTTGTTCCTCATAGTAATCCTCCTTTTGGCTCTGAAAGATTGCAAGATATAATGGGACACACCCTATTGGGAAGTTCCCTGGAACAACTAACTTCTTTGCTCCAAGATTTATAAGATCCTGAAAACATGCGAACTCTTAATGCAAATGTATACAGGCTCCAAACATTACCTCACTGGAAAGGGGGACACACATACATACCGTGATGGCCGAGCTTATGGCACCAACAACATTAGGAACAACTTCATGTAGCTCATCAAGAGATTTCTCCCTAACTATTAAATGGTTGTAATCATTTCCGCCGACCTCTCCCACAAAGAAAAGTGAATTGGACATTATTTTCTTTTGCTCTGCATACAAGTAAAATTTCAGTGGATTGAGTTTTCAGAACTCCAAATTGTGTTGTGTTTGATGACAACTAATTCCATGAAACCAACTACGGCACACAATAGTGATTCTCGTATAAATTTTGGAGGACGTTTTTTGCAATATCATTAATTAATACAGCTAATTCTATTAGCTAAAACAGTCAAATGAGACAACATTAATTTCAAAACTTGGTAAATATTCTGTGCTTTCCCTTGAAAAAATAGCAAATGATTACTATCTAATTTCTTAAGTACCATAAGTATATATTATGAATTAAGCTTTGTTTTAAGTAACCATCAATTTTAAAAGGCCCAAACTAAGTCCAATACATAGTTTATTGTGGCGATCAATGGTTTCTACATCCATGCATTGTGCTTCTTGGTTCTCACGAATGGCGAATCTAAGAGATAGTTACTTGATGTCTAGATCTAATCGATTGTTCGTCAATGCATACTATTAAACAATTTTAGACAACACATTATATTTTACATTGTTTTTTATTTTGCCATTTAATATTTAGGCCTCATTTAAATTTGAGTCTGTCTACCCAACAACCATGTGTTTTATGCAGTTTCAACACATGAATTTTTTTACACCATAGAATTAAGATCCAACAGCCTCCATCCTCCAGACAATCACAAATCACAAGATCACAGATCCACAGATCACAAGAAACAATTTTTTTCTATGCAAGGACAATCACAAATCAAAGGGACGGAGATATTGATGAAGATGTTAGCCATAGAATCAAAGCAGGGTGGATGAAGTGGCGGCAAGCGTCTGGTGTCCTATGTGACAAAAGGGTACCACAGAAGCTAAAAGGCAAGTTTTATAGGACGGCGATTAGACTCGCTATGTTGTATGGTGCGAGAATGTTGGCTGAAAAAGACGACATATTCAACAAACTAAGTGTCGCGGAAAATGCGAATGCGTTGGATTTGCGGGCATACAAGAAGGGATCGAGTTCGAACGATGATATCGTGAGAGATTAGGGGTAGCGCTAATTGAAGAAAAGCTTGTCCAACACGGTTGAGATGGTTTGGACATGTGCAACGGAGACCTTCAGATGCACCGGTGCGAGTGGAATCCTAAGTGATAGTAACGTGAAGAGAGGGCAAGAGGAAGACGAAGTTGACTTGGGTAGAGGCAATAAAAGGAGACTTGAAAGGATGGAATATACCCAAAGACTTAGCCTTAGATAGGAATGCTTGGAAACTATTCACGTGTTCGAACCTTGATTGCTGTTGGGTTTCAACTTAGCCTACCCCAACTTGTTTGGGACTTAAAGGCTTTGTTGTTGTTGTTGTTGTTGTTGTGCAAGGACAAAAGAACAAATCGAATCCAAATTCAGATATCGTAGAGGACGGCGGTACACCCATAACCGCTTCGACCGAATCCAATGCTTACGGGCTCATCCCCATCAGCATTGCATGCCACTTTGCTTCCTTTTCGCGATCGAAGCCGGATGTTTGTCGACGTGAGTGTTTATAACAAGTCATACTTTCAAAAAATCTCTTTCAACCATAAACACATGTGTTGTATAGCAAGGCGCTTTAAATTTTCGCTCAAGGCCTCCAAATTCAACGGGACCCCACTGTTTCATCCCAATAGAAGGCTCAACAAAGTAAACTTTGCTTCTCATTTAGCAGGTGAGTGTTTGCTACAAGTCAACTACAATCTCTATCAACCATAAAACATGGTTCAAAAAGGCGCTACTAGGCGCTTCGCCTAAGCGCGGCACGGGCGAGGAGGTGCCGCCTACGCCTGGGGGGGTAGGCGGCGAGGATAAGCGGCGTCCACCTGGATCCAGAGCCGCTTTGCACGAGGAGGAAGCCGCGCCACGAGCGGAGGTCACCGGTGGGGAGGAGGACCCGTGACGACGGCGCAATGGAGGTCGCTGGTTGGGGAGGAGGACCATGGACGGCAGCAGAGGTTGCCTTGGGTGGGGAGGAGGACCATGGACGGTGGGCGGAGGTCGCCGGTGAGGGAGGAGGAACGGCGGGCTTCGTCTTGGCGCTGGTGGCAGTGCTTGCCGGCCAGAGGAGAATGAGAGAGAGAGAGAGATGGAGAGGAACCAAGCGGCGGTAAGTGGCTGTGCGTGTGTGGCCATCTGGAGAGACCGAAAGAGAGAGAGGAGAAAGAGGAAGGGATAAGGTGTTGGGGGACTTGGGCTTTGGGCCGTTTACTGTTTTATGGGCCTCTCTCTTCAATGAAGTCCACTTATCTCCTGTTTTCTTTTCCTTTTTTCAACATATATGTGTGTATATACTATCGCCTAGAAAACGCCTTGGGAACGCCTAGGCTAGCCTAGGCTCGCCTAGGCTCTAGGCCGTGGGTCATCGCCTAGATATCGCCTAGCGCCTTCTTGAACATTGCCATAAAATAAGTAAAACACAGTGCTTCCTCACAAGTCACAAGTTGAAAACAGTAGCTCTCAGTTAGCCAGCATGTTTTTCAGCACGCCTGCCACTACTAATGTAAAACAACCAATCAGATGTTTCATTGACATTATTACTAAACCTGTTAACAGGTAATGATTCCATTTCATCAAACACCTTGCAGGAAAAGGAACTGTGACCAAACAGATAACTCAGGAAATCACTTACCTGTCTCAGATGGTGCAATGGATGGGAGAAGCTTCTTGAACCATTGCATCTGCTCATCAAGGGAGTGAGGCGTCCATGTAGGCTCCACACCGCGTTCACGGAAGAATGAGCCATTGAGGGCAGTTGCCCCGCCGACCGCAAAGTTTGCACCATTCTGGAAGTCCCCGCCGCCAAGGTATGGTGGCACATACGGCAGCCCAAATGCCTCCGCTGCATGTAACAAGAGAACAAACACATGTCAAGAACACAGTTAGGACAGGGCAAGTAATCAGATGTGGAAACATGGAAAGGCCCAGAATGATAAATGAGTGGGAAATGAAAGGCTGATATAATAAGTGTTGACCACGTGATGAGTGCCACCAATTTAACTGGTAGTTGGAGCTACCAATTGTGTGCTAGTTCAAGGAGATGATGCCACCAGTGTCTAGTGGTTGGGGAGAACTGGGAAAGGCAACCAACTTTTGCTGATACACCCTGTATAAGCTGGGTATTTGCACTTGAATGTTTCTTTCCAGGTCTTGAGATCTCCAGATTTCATTATATGTGACTAGTATATAATATAATATTAGAAAAGGCAGAGAGATGGTTGGGGCTGCTTATAATTCATGAATTCTGAAACCGAGCGTGTTCTCGCATGTGCTTAGAAAACATTTCATTGACCCCATAAGGACGTTTCCAGCTGCGATTAGAAGGCCTGTTTTTATGTAAACGCCACAGTTAACAAATTCCCAACCTCAGTAGGAGGAACATGTTCTAGCTGGAGACAGGGGCCAAAAAAATTGCATAACTGGCCATACTATATTTGCCTCACCACCACCGCACTGGCGGCGCCTCCTAAAAAGGATCGATGACCAGTCTATTGCTTGAAGAAAAATCAAACGACTAGCGACTCCCATCCCCTGCCATCATATGGTGGACGAGTACGCGGCAAGGAAGGAAGCGAAGAGGAAGGCAAAAATCAATCTAACTAGGTGGAGTTGACACCAGAAATACAGTATATTTCTACGAAATCTTACTATTACTGTAGGAACAAAAATCCATGGAGTAGCAGTAAGTTTGAATTCGCACGGAAAAGTCCTGGAGATTCCATCCCCATTAATCAGGACGAACGACGGCGAGGACGAGCAGCAAGCGCTGATAACAAACACGTAAGGCAAGGAGAGGGTTGGGCGACGAGGGCGGAAGTTACCGAAGAAGTCGAGCAGGTTGCGGCCGTCGGAGTAGCGGCCGGAGGGGCGGCCGAAGAAGGTCTGGCCGTAGGGGAGGTTCCGCGCGGGGTCCGGGAAGTCGTCGGGCACGGAGAGCAGGAAGTTGCCGGTATCCGTGAGCGAGTCCCCGAAACTGAACACCCGGTCGAAGCAGACGCTCCCTCCTCCCGCTCCCGCTTCCGCCGCCGGCGCCGCCGCCAACACCACCAGCACCCCCGCGAAGAGCAACGGAAATGCCATGGCGAAACGACGGGCCGCGCCGATCCGGAGCAGAGGGCGGGTTCCAGAAGAAGAGGGAGACGGGGACGGCGGGGTGGCCGTTGACATGGGGGTGGGGGAGGAGGGGGAACGGACGAGACGAGGAAGGAAGACGGAGGCGGAGGGGCAGCGGTTTTAAGCCTTGTTCAGTTAAAAAGTTTTCCAAAAAGTGTTACGATAGCTATCCCATCGAATCTTGCGATATGTGTATGAAGTATTAAATGTAGACGAGAAAGAAAATCAATTATACAGTTTGATTGAAAATCACGAGACGAACGTTTTAAACCTAATTAATTTATAATTAAACACTAATTACCAAATAAAAACAAAAGTGCTACCGTAGTCAAAATCTCAAATTTCACACGACTAAACACAGCCTAAAGGGAGGAGAAGGAGACGGCGGAGCCATCCGTTGATCTCCACGCTTTTTCCAGTTTGCTCCTCCTATTTGGAAAACATTTTTTTCGTTTTTAATAGAGTTTTATTTATTTAATAGTATATCTATTTACTTCCATTTCATGCCTCGCTTTTTTTCTAAGGAGTTTTGGGGATTTGATTGATTTGATTTTGATCGGCTGCCATCTTTTCCTGAGTGTTGGGGATTTGATTTTGATTTGATTCGGCTGTCATCTTTTTCTTTTCCGGACCCACGCGCGGGCCGTGTCGTGTGGCGGCCGGCGGTCGGGCGGCCGCGGATCGGCCCCCGTCCGTCCATCGGGCCGCGGCGCCGCGCGACGATTTCCAGCTTGGTGCGGCTCGTCTCGGCTCGGTCGGGTTCTCCGCCCTCGCGCTCGCGCTTTCTGCCGCGGCGGCATTTTTGCGCCTGTTCGTTTTCTGTTTGCCACGGCGACGTCATGCGCGCCGCACGACACGGGCGATTTGGATCTGGCGCGACTACGGCCGGATCAGGTGGATCGGACGGATCACGACAGGTGACTTGGCGTTCGTCATCGTGCCACCGGTTCCCGTTGTCCGTCTCGGTTCTCCTGCGAGCCACGGCGCAGAGGTGTGCTTCCTACTCCACACGGCCTTTTCGTCATTTCGCGGACCGTGGTTGCAACCTGCCGGCGTTACACACTCCACCAGAGCTGTCATACCTGTCTGTCTCTGTATTTAAAAAAAATCAACTTTTACAATTATAATAATTCAAAATATTTATAAATTTTGATTAACATTGTATTATTAGAAAGAATACTAACATCTATGATACCAAATAAAAATGCTATAAAAATATATTTTATGGTGTATCTAATCATACTAATATTGTTTCTATTTAGTTAAATTTATAAAACTTGATTTAAGATAACTTTTAACAAGTTCATTTGTTTTAGAACAATAGAAGTACTCACTTCATTAAAAAAATATAATTATAGGATTTTGTGCAGGTCAAACTAGGTTAAATTTGACCAAGTTAGAAGTAAATATTATTAACATTTATGTCTCTAACTAAGTTTATAAAACATATTTCATAATTAATCTAATTGTACTTATTTTGTATCATAAACATCGGTAATCTTTATAACTTTGGTTAAACTTCTAATCATTTGACTCCTTGAAAACTGAGAATTGTATTTTTTTTTAAGGATGGAGAGAGTATATCTTTTTTTCTTAGCTTTCCAGTCTCCCTCCTTACTTTGGCATAGCCACATATAACAATTGGCATTATGCAATACAATCGCCAGCAAATAAACCACATGTTCACATCATGTACAATACAGTTCCGTAATTAAATATATGGAAAACACGGGGTTGTAGATGTTCCTAGGATCATGTACAATACAGTTCCGTAATGGTGATTGAACTTGGTCCCCTTCACCTCTCCTCAAAGGGTCAAACCTGGCCGAATGGCAGTAAATGTCCATCCGAGTATCCTTCACTCCTAGTGGTAGCAGGCAAAAAAAAAAAGGTACACGTTGGCATTAAAGCCGGCTGATAAGCCAGCTGCAGCTGTTTTGTTGTGAGAGAAAAATACTGTAGATTCTAGCTGATAAACCGGCTGGTAAGTTTAAGCGAACAGGCCTGTCTGAATTCGTATGGCTACTGTTTGCTAAAAAAACTGTGGGATTTTCAGATTGTTTGTAAATGCTAGAGTCACTCTAAATCTACAACTATAGAAATCATAGACTTAAATCCAGTGAAATGACTTATTCCTACGCCCTCAGGGGCAAGGCGACACAAGTGGTGCTTGCATCGCACCGCTACTAGCCCTCTCCTCCAGCGTCTCGTCACCTTGCTGCTGCCTAAGCAACTTGCTAGCTCCAACGAAAAGTAGTGGTGGGTCTCTCCTTTGGCCCCTCCCTCCTATGGTGCCCCATTCAGTCCCTATGGATAGTGCCCAGATTCATCGCAGTCTGCAGCTGGATTCGGTATCTTCAAGGCAAGGAGCCAGACTTATCATGGGACCCATTCTCCCGAGATCCCAGTGGCTCAAGGAAGACCTAACCTTCGCCCCCCGATTTGTCGGCTCGAGCGTGTGACGCCAAGGGTGTTAAGCGTATGATAAGTAGTGGGTTCGAAACTTAAGAAAACACTGCATTGATTTTTATGTGCTCTATTGCTACATTCTTACATGCGACGTTGAATGACTTAAACTTAACAATTAAGATTAGACTCAATTCTCAACTAAACTAGATAGATTCCCCACGCGTTGCTGCGGGAATTTGAGAAGTATTTTTTTATGAATGTTAGATGAACGAAGCCAAAAAAATATGAAATTGAATATAGCTAATGCTCGGTAAATTTCATTTTGATGATAATAATATGTAAGAGTTAATGATTAATGTAAACCTTATGACAAAAAAGGTGCATGAAAGCATGTCAAATAAAAGTGCTTGGATGGCCAGTTGTCAAATCGCAGGAATATTATGCACAAACGAAACAATGGAAAAAAGAATAGCAAAATCTAGATGGTAATAGTGCGCTTACCTGCAAAGCTATAACTGTTAAAGAGATGGACAGATTATTAATATTCAAATCTGGAATTGGTAAATAGTTCAGGGGTTGATTGTTTAAACATCTGCCAAAAGCACCATTTATTTTCCATTCCACAATGTGCAACCATGATGCCGTATATTCACGTTTATTAGTTTGGAGCATGACAGGAGGCAATCTATTCTCGGACACCAAAAGGTCACATAATAATTAGAAGAATAGGATTTTATTACACTATCAGTACAGAGGCAAAAAAGGTGTCTCTGAAACAGTAACTTTAATATACATCTACCTCAAATCGTTACATGGAAAGGGAGTCTTCCAGTGATGAGTATATGATCATGGAATTTCTCTGAAGCGTTTTCATAGAACACTAAGAATTCATCATGTTGTCATTTGAACTTAGCACAGTAACTGGACATCTAGGTAACATGTACATGAGAGAGGGAGGATTATACTTAAGCATTCTAAGTACCACACCGTTCGAAATGTTGATGCGCTTTGAAGGAAATCGAATCGAAAGGAAGGAAAGACCACACCATGCAAGTAAATCAAGGTGAGAAGGAAATACAATAGCTTAACATCTCCACATAGAAGTAAATCCAATCCAAAAACTAATTGAAGTGTATGTGGAGCGGCCAGGGATCGGAACCACACATGCACAGGCAATTTTGGCAGCCTTGCACTCAATTGCTCCATCAATCCGGTAGTGAATCATCTAAACATAAAGAAAGGGAAAGGGAAAAAAAAGGAGAAAAGATTGCATACATGGGTGACGACAGCAGCACAAACAATACAGTACATGGGAGACGGGGCAAACTCGAAGGCACAACTACGGTTAGAAACAAACGGAGGCAGCAATGCTGAAGGGCCATGAACCGAAGGAGGCTGTAGGGATGCCTGCACTCAAATTGCGTGAGGCACGATTGAACTGAAGTCTTACCAATCAAAAATCACTTATAGCAGCTGCATCTATCTGGCCGCTTGAAACACTCTCCTAAATGAGAAAATATGCTTATATATACATGGAAGAAGGAAGGGAAAAGGGTATTCAACGTGTTCAGCTGCTCAAGTTCCAGCTTATTTCAGCTTATTCTTTTTCACATAACACTATTGTCTGTTCGCTTGCTCCAATAGAAACTCATGATCTGGTGCATTGAAAGGGATTGGATCTTGGCCCGTGGAAGTGTAGGGCGGTTTTTCCAATTCCATCGTGAGTGGAGGAAGGCGGACAGACCGGCGGCTGGTGTTCCAATTCGTGGGTACGACTTGTTATCAGGAACGGCAAGATGAAATCGATTGATGATGATCTGACGGATTTTATTATTGGATAAGGTGATCACTGTGGGATTAGATAGACTTTATAGCGGGGGTTTGCTTTATAAGAGATAGTGACTTGGTGAGGCTTTGAGATGATGTGGCTTCATAGAATTACAGAAAAATATTGTAGTGAGATTTTGCTTTATAAGAGTTGTAGATACGGTCAAACTTAGTATTAAATATTACTTTTATGTCAAAAGTGTGATAAAAATTCAAATTTGGTGTAAATTAAACTGAACATCAATTAATGGATATAAAGAAAGTAATGAAACCATGGGGAGTAAGTTTTGATAAACCTAATGTATTTTTCCTATAATAAAGGCCAAAAATGAATCTCTCTTCGTGTCTTTTGCTTTTAGCTTTGGTCAACTTGGATTGCATTTTTCAGCGGATTTTAGAAGATAACATTTCATTGCTAACCGCTTTCATCGAATATGGTTTTTTTTTTTTTTTTGAGGAATCATCGAATATGGTTTCTTCCATATAATCGTGAAGTTATGTTTCCTTGCTTGAATTCAGTAGTACTCCGTACATGTACATGGAAAATAAAAGTAAAAAAAGATGGCCTGCAGTCCTGGACTCTGGAGTCATATGGTTGTTGCGTACGGTGTGTCAAATTCCTTGGTCAGAAGATTACAACCGCTGCCCGGAGCTTGCACTACTAGCAGGTGAATCCAGGACGTAAGCAGTATGACTTGTGCTGCAGAGACCCAGCCTTGTTTAGTTGGCGAATTTTTTTGAAAAATAGTACTGTAGCACTTTCGTTGTTATTTGGTAATTAGTATCCAATCATAGTCTAATTAGGCTTAAAAGATTCGTCTCGTGAATTTCGTCTAAACTGTGTAATTATTTTTATTTTTTATTTATATTTAATGCTTCATATATGCGTCTAAAGATTCGATGTGACAAGAAATCTTGAAAAATTTTGTAAAATTTTGGAAACTAAACGGACACTAATTTTACTGGATGTCTGGATGTGGACAGCTTGATAGCCCCTGGGGGCTGGGGCTGGGCCTGAGGAGGGAAAACGAGAGCCGCCACATTACACATACACAAAAGAATCCTTTCGGTGGCTCGAGCCGACAGGCGACGCCATTTGGCCGGACAGCCAAGAGGTGAGGGAATTTTTTTCTCTCTTTCCTTTCGTGGCACGGACAGGAGCTTGTGGCAGGTAGTACGCCTGGACTTGTGGTCGGGCAGGCAGGCAGCCAGAGCCCCCAGAGGCCGGAGCGGTGGTACGCTTGCTGCTGCAGTGTTGACATGGGGCCGAGCCGATTGGGCGCTGGACGGACCTCGCCGATCCCAGCACCGGCTGCGCGCGCGATGGGACAACTGACAGATGGGTCAACCCAACCGTGTCCTCTCCAGCGAAACGAAAGGGCCTGTCTCTCGGTCGGGCTGCCGGGTGCTGGCCTGGCCTCTCCGGGCTACGGATGCGGACTGGACCTGGACCACCGTCGCCGTCGGAATCGGATCACGTACAGGACAATAGCTTGGACAGGCACTAGGACTACGGTACAGCCGAGTCGACATAGGCAGGCGTTTCGCCGTCAGCCGTGATTGAATGAATGATGAGATTCCGGGAGCTTTCTTTCCTTCTGCGTGGCATGGTGGGATTGGGATGGGGGGCGAACGAAGAAGGGCGATCGGGAAAAGGCACGCGGAGCCAAATCTTGGTGGCCGGCCATATCAGTGAGATTCTGGGATCATATATACTCAGCTCCTCCTATAGAAATTAGGATAGGACGTAGTACGTCCTCGTTTTGATTATTTAGCCCCCGGCCGGCAGATTTCATAGCGCGGGCGCCGGGCGCGGCAGTTCTGGTGGGGCGCTGGAGCCCGTGGACCGCCCATCAGGAACACACGACCGGTCGATCCTCCTCGTCCCTCGGTCTCAAGCGCGCGTGAGTTGTGACCAGAGCAGAGATCCCGGGAGTCAGCGCAGGACGACGCTCACAGAAAGAGTAGGCCCCCGGCCCGAAGCTACCGTGCGCTCGCAACTCTCGTCGTTGTCGTCCCTGCCTCTGCCTGCAGAGCCAGCGGGGTCCGCCCCGCCTACAGGAAACGCCCCATGCATGCTAGTAGCTCCATCTCCAGCTCGTGTGCGTTCCGTCGGCGTGACGACTGGGGCGAGCCACCATCAGCCTCGTGTGACACGCGTGCTTATTATGGCTCACAGATTGACACGGAAAATTAACGAAGCGGCAGACGGGCGATGCGCCGCGTGCGTGCATCTGCGTCCTAGTGGCACTCACTGCTTTAAACAGCGACTCCCACCGGCGCTGGCCGCCCAGAGTGCAGGCAGGGGGGGGACGATTGCTATCGAAAATCCATAGATGAACGTTACAAGTGAAGTGATCAGGGCTTCAGTCGTCGTTTAGCAGAGAGTCTGCACACAAAATATATAATCATCATACAACTTGCGAATTGCGACCGAGTATTTTGTTTGGCTGGTAAAGAACCTTAATATAACAGATAGAATTATTAGTCTAATCATATTGTGCTACGAGGCGTCACACGTTCTAATGATCAGTAATCCTAATCATCCTACCCACCGCAGCAGACCCTGATGATGTCCGTACGTCCCGATGAAGCTGGCAGGACCATCATCGCCGTTCATCACCCATAACGCGTCGATTGATCAGGCACACTTCACTTGTCACTGTAACGCACTTGCAGCCTCCTCCGATCCGAACCTGGTCGATCGCCCAGTGCGCGTCCCATCGGCCATCTCTCGTGTCTCAGCCTTGGACCGTTCCATGTCTTGTTCCCTTCCGGCGAGCCCTTTTTTTCCGGCGTAGCAACATGCAACTTCTCCTCCGTGAAAGCGCAAGGGAAGGAGGAAGGGACGGAGTGCCGGTGATCGACCAGACCTGACGGCATCGGCATCAAAGGAGCGGCAGCTACTGCTTGAATTCAAGATACGACTCAGACGACATCACGATCCACACACACGGCGTGCATCTTGGGTTTGGGTGGGCTGATTTTATTCTTGCAATTATTGGTGTGTTCCTCGCTAGGTTTGGACACAAGGAGACAGACGTCCCTTTCTTTTCTTGTTGCACATCGTCGTCCCTCCGTTTTCATCAAATTCGTTCATAGCCCCACGGAGTACAGCGTATAAAACATTCTAAAATATCTATTGCATTGTGGAAATCAAGAGCATAGCTATTGCAGCGTTTTCACTCTCTACCCTTAATAACGTTGTTTTGACAGAGAAAAATGTCGAGACATGTCATTTGTTAGGCGTGTAAATGGTCAATTTATATTAATGTGTACAGTAAATTATGGACGAATACACGTTAAACGTGAGGAAATAAGAAAGCAAAATTACGAACACACCCACCACTCATAAATCTGTGCGTATAAGTTGTCAAAATGAATACAGCTTTTCTCGTGTTCATTTATCGGGTTACCCATTATCCTTTCATAATTTTCTAGAATTTCTCGAAACTTATAACTGCACATAGCAATATATGGGTGCAACACGCCTAGGGGTTTTTTTTAGTAGTATCTGGTACTAGCCTCCTGACCCTAGTAGTTTTTTCAACAGGCAACATCACCAAGTACCAACCAATGTTCCTAACATGCTTGAGCTTATTGGGTTCACAGGGCAAGTAGACCATAAAGAAGAAAACATGAGTTTTCTGCAACTGCAAACCACATATATTTCAGAGTATATCTGCAAACCACATGGCAAACCTTTTGTTCCAGATAAGCTGCACACATTGGATATGTGGCTGGCATCTTTCTGGTTGCAATTTTGAATTTGAATCATCACGGGGAACACATGATACTTCAGGGTGGAAGATATTTGATCTTGAGCCATACACACTTGGCAGATACCAAGAAGAACAGTTGACCAACAGATTTCCTGTGATCGTATTCAGTTATCATTGCAACCGCTCACAAAATAGGCCAGGTTGAAGCAAACAGTAAAAAGGTGGTTACGATGAACAATCTGATCCATAATTTTTGGACGTTACGTCACTGATTGGCATGGGAATATTTACATATTTACCATCATTACGACGTGAGTGGTATAAAAATACCATGTCAGTAACTCATGTGTCAGTGACACAGTGTAAGATGCCATCCGTAATAGTGGTAAATATGTAAATGCCCTGTTGCTCAACTTCTGAAACTCCTTGAGGCTGACTAATGCGTGCATTAGCAGAATTTGATTGGAGTGCACACGATGGCTCAGTTTTTGTATTGCATCAATTGCATCTTCAGAGAAGGGCCTAAACATCAATGCAAGTGATGTCAGATAAAAGAATACTAATTCTGTGAGCATTTATATGAATTTGTACATCTTTTAGACGGAATGGCTCTATTAAATTCTCTCCGTGGACACTAGACATCATCCTTCAAACAATTCTTGCACGACGACGAATACTTGTCTGTACAACTTCTAAGAAGTCTGAAAACAAGACATAAGGTTACTATCGGTGTTAGTTGTACAGCCCAGCATCTTTCATTTTCCTTCAACATGACAGGTCTTCAGTTTCAAAAATGCAACGAACTATTTCATAATAGCAGCCTTCAGTTTCAGTTCAAGCAAAACAAACCATTGTTATGTGGTTAGGATAAACGCAGCCAAGAAGATGCGTACTACAAAAATGCAACGAACTATTTCATAATAACATATAGGAGAAATTCAGCAAACGGCTTGCCACCATGATCTTGGCCTGTACGCATGACCCGCAATGAGCTTCATCACAAAGTACATCTTTTCCCTAACAAATGAAATTTGTACTTCTGGGGTCTGGCTTCTGGGCTCTGGCACATACGGGGATACATGAAAGCATGTCACTTCCATTGCACCCGTTGATCTCTCATTTTTAGTTGGAACGGCACTCTCTTCCCTAGACAGAAATTCGAATTCCCAACAGAAACCATTCTCAGTTTGAGTTGGTACCACACTCTCTTCCCTTGAGAGAAATTCCCAACAGATAGAAAGAACAGCTTTACTTTCCCTGTACTAATGGCTAAAGTTCAACTGTGACTCTTAGCAACTCCCCAACAATCATCTATCATCAAGAATGAAAACTGACATTGCTTCTTCAAGCGTAACCATTTCCCAGGCAGTTCAAGCAGCGCTGCACCCTGATAAAACAGAAAAAAAATCAGCAAATATCCATTATCATAATTTCATAATCACAGGAACCCAGCAGCAGCAGAACAGAAAATAGAAGAGCCATGTAGGAGATAGCTAACCGGGTCCCATCGCAGGTAGGGCAGAGGCACGGGTTGACGAACACCGGGTCGTGCATCGGAGACCACTCGATGGTGGCGCTGCCCCTGCAGAGCCTGCACGCGTAGGTGCCCTTCCCCTCGCAGGCGCCGCACGGCATCGCGAACTTCCTCTGACGAACCGCAGGCCACTAGAGTCAATCGCGGCGCGGGGCAGGACCAGAGCAGAAACCGAAAGGGTTCGCGCTTCGGAGGGTGGTGGGGAACGGGGCGAGCGCGTGCACCTGGTTGGCGTCGGAGAGGGCGCGGAGGGAGCGGACTGCGACGGAGGAGGCAGCGGAGAGGAGGAGGAATCCGCCGCCGAGGTAAGCTGCCAGCCGCCCCACTGACTGCAGCTGCCGCCGGACCCGGTCGCCGGGGCCTCGCCCTCCGCCTCCAAGCTCCATGCGCGGCGACTGTGCAGTGGTGGGGTGGGGCGACTTGTTATCTAGCTGGCCTTCCTTAGCCGCCCACAATTGGGCCTTTGATGGGTCCTAGGTCCACAGATGAATTCGATCCAAGTTACAAGTCTCAGAAACCTTGAAATTAGCTTTTAGATTTTTTTTATTATTAGTTGTGTTTTCTGTTTAATTGTTACTATTTCTATTTTTGCTATATATTCCATAGCATTTTTATTGTATCCATGATCCTATGGTGATATTTGATTGACCTAATTTTTCTATCATATAATAATAGTGTTATTATTATAGCATTTGAGGTGTATTCTAAATTATCGTTGTATTATTTATGAGATTTTCCTTGATGTTCTGGATTATTCCAAAGCATTCTGTTTGAGGGCGTAGCTAAGCGGGGTTGAGGGGTCCCTCACACCCCCGCCCCAACCATCTTGGTTGTTTAGTTTATCTCCCCCCTATTAACCTCCAAATGCATATGTATGATTTATGATTAGTGTTCCTATTATCGTTCCCCTCTTCTTTGATGCTATTATTGATGTGATCGTTTTGTGGCCTATAATTAGATTGATTGGGTGGAGGTTAGGGTCTTAGAGCTAATTAGATTGATATAGATAATATATCGTTTGTTAAACTAACTGAGGGGTTAGTGCTTGTTCTGGAGTGTTTTTTTAACTAGATGCATCCCACAATGTTGTAATGTGTATGGTCATGTGCAATGCAATGACTAGGGTATTTCGCTAGAACAAAACTTTTTCTCTAGCTTTTTAGCTTTCTTTTGTATCATATAAAAAACATTGGTTTGGTTGTTATGCATGCTCTTGTCAAGTCAATGTAGGAATATGGGCGTGTATTTCATCAATATGATTGTTATCGATTTGTTAGAATGCCCCCCCTATGCTTAAATCGTAGCTCTGTCCCTATATATAATGTATTTTGTAATGCTCGTATAGTACATGTGAGATGCGCTATGGTATATTTTAGTTTTTTTCATGTAGTATTGATAGAATGTTCCACGGTGTATTTCTTATTATTCACATAGTACTCATCTATGATATACTTTAGGTTGCTCGCCTAGTGTTCATGCAATATTATTTTTTATTTTCCTATATCACACGACATTTTTCCTTTTTTTTTTTTGTTTTCCCTTTCCTTTATATTTTTTATTTTCTATTAATTTCATTTTCTTTTATTTTGTATTTTTTCCCTATATATGTCATATCCATACATAATCTCGTGGTGACCAGCATTCTAACATATAATTAGGTGTTGGCTAATGCTGCTACCTCTAGCTTCGTGCTCCACAGCCCAGCCATTGGTCCCTCGTACCAATCCTTGCGGCACTGATTGATGCTACACAAGGAAGGAGCTACTTAGTACTCAATACTCAAGGGATCCAAAGAGAGATGAACATTTGGCGGTGTTCGGCTGAGCTGAAATTTGACTTGTTTGGCTTATTTTTCCAGCCGGAGCAGTATTTTTCTCTCACAACATTCCAGCATAAATAGTGTTTTCCAGCATAAACAGTGAAAAATTCAGCTCAGCCGAACACTTTGCAGACAAGTTAGCAAAACAGGCATCGATTAATCTTGTCAAGCTTTAGCACATTCTCAACATTGTAACATCCAACTGGCTTTACAAAACTTTGAATGGGGCTTGTTGCGTCCCATTTCTGTACCATGTTTATAATGAATGAATGAGTTTCCCCTTTTCAGAGAGAGATACTATCATTAAGTACCTTTTTTTTACAAGGGCCATAAAAGCGCTTGTGATTGTGCTATAACGCTAAGGATGCAAGTGGGTTGTTCTGCGGTTCGTAGACCAACCCAAGCACGGAAGCACCCTGCTCGCCCCCAACATAAGTGAGCATCATCTGAGACCACCATACCGTCAACCATGCTTAAGCTTAACCTGCTCCAGTTACAGTCGAGCTTAAGCAGTTCATATTCCCTATGATAAGGCTACGGCAGGGTGTAATCTTTTCGCTTATACTAGATCCACTTTTTCATCCCTAAACTACAGGCTGTATCTGAAGCTATCCACTCCGCACTTCCACAGCACACAGGCCATTTGAGGTTACAGTTACAGGCTTCACCATTATCGGATGACTTGCGAGTTTTCCATGGCAGCCTCTGAAGTTACAGGCACTATCATCTAGGTTCCACGACCTGCCCTTGTTAAAGCCTGACTGCTCTAGTGAGCTACCTCTTGCGGATCAGGTGACACACTCTGTTCCATCAAAATCCGCGGCCGAACATTACGTTCCTGGAGAAACAAAATCTCATAGATCAGTGCATTGGTACTCAGCAATATTGCTTTGCAGAAATAAATAACAATTGACAGTACAGAGGCAATTGAGTGGCCTTTGGTCCGCCCATTTTGAATTGATGCGGGTACTACTACTTGGAAAGTGTGAAAGTTGAGGCACAGCAGACAGTTTGAGAGCTCCAGGTTCATCAGTGGATAGCATGATTACCAAAAATCACAAGGGATGACAAAAGGTTCACATGTTGGCAATGATTCAGAAATGGCACAGGCATCTTTCTCAGACGTGCTGTCATGGAAAGGTTTATTTAAGAAGCTTGTTGATTTATCGTGTAAACATGCTTTTGGTTTAAGTTTGATAGCTTAGAAGATTGCAAAGGTACAACCAAGCTGATAACAAATGGGACCAGGCCTCACCTGTAATTGCACAGCACGATGGTATGAAGCATTTTCTACAAAAAAGAAAGGCACACAACTGAACACTGTTTAACGATGGGTGACATTTTCCAGTGGTAACATTAACAGGTCAATTGGATCATCACACTGGCATAGACAGTACCTAGAGAATAGTGATTTAGCCCAACATCAGAATAGAGTGATGCTGGTCCCCAAAAGGATCTATACAGTTCTCTTCATATCTGCAACTTGAAACTACCACTAAGGATTAACACATTCTCTGGTTAGTGATGAGGCATAGCATCTTAAAAAAGGGCGTACCCAGTGCAGAGAGCTCCCGCTCTGTGCGGGGTCTGGGGAAGGGTATTAGTGGCAAGCCTTACCCTCGCCTGTGCAATGCGAGGAGACTGCGACTCGAACCCGGGACCTTCCGGTCACAGGCGGTAAGACTCTACCGCTTGCACCAGGCCCGCCCTTCAGGCATAGCATCTTAACCAAAAAAATTTATTGAAGAGGGCCGGAAAGGCTGAAAATGTATTATTTGGTGGTCAGTGGTCTTGAATGTGTGCAATTCGGTCGTTTGTTGTCCTTTGGTTCAGTAAATTTGGAGCATGGCAAAACTTGAATGCTTGTTTGGTTTCACAAACATTCCAAACATAGGATAACAACTTTAGGCAGATTGGATCATCCAAATACCCAATTCAATGTGGATACTCACAAGTTGGTGGCTCACAAATGGAAAAATTGTTTGGTTAGATCTGGAAAGGCAGGAATATTTGTTTCATGCCAGTAGACTGAGTTTTGACTGGACTGCAGAAGAAGGTATGTGAACCTCTTCAACAGCAATCCACGCTCTTGCGGTGGCTGGCAGAAGAAGCATGAGAGAATTCCTTCATTGCCACTAAAAGCTATAGCAATTTCTTCATTGCCATTGAAAAATATATATTTCCTTCATTGCTATTAATTTAGGTTTTTTTTTCCTTCATTGCCATTCCGTCAATTTTGTGCCTAACAACGTCGACCTCTTCAATCGGCCGCACACACCAACATTGGGTCCCGCGGCCCCACGCGAATTGGAGCCAGCGAGCGACACCGCGCCCGTGACGCGGTTCCACGCGCTATCGGGCGAGGCGGCAGGCGGCGGCGCACTACCGTGCCTCTCGCGGATATAGAGGCTGCAGAGGCCACCGCTCCTGGACACCTCATCACCTCCCGGCTCCCCAGCGCGGCGCACCATGGTGCCATCCTGCGTGTCGTGCTGGCCGTCCCGCTCGCCCCACGGGTCGTCCTGCCTGCAAGTCGTTCTGCCCGTCACGCTGCCAGCCCGCTCGCCCTGCCCGGTACCGCCCCCGTGCTGCAGGTCGCACGGGAGGGGGAGCCATGCTGCCGTGGCAAGAGTAAGAAGTAGCCACCGGCCCACTGCCTGTGCCAGGCGATGGTGAGCAAGGCGATGCCATGGAAAGAGGAAGAAGTAACAGGCGATCTGTGACCGCATCGCCTCAAGTGAGATCAGGCATCGGAACACTACAAATGCGACGGTGGGCGAGGGGCCATCACGAGCAGCTCCAGTGGCTAGATTCTGTACTTAGTCTAAGTCCATGGCGAGCGAGGGATGGCAACAGCTGCGGCCATCACGAGCGGCTCCAACGGCTTGCTTTGCTACAGCCGCGTCCATGGCAGCTCCGGTGGCCTGCGCTCGAGTTCGTGCTTTGTATTGGCAAGCTCGTGCTACCTCATTCGTGAATCCAGAATCCGTGCTTGATATTAGTGATTCTAAATTTATGGACTAATCCATTGAGAAGCTTGACAAATGTTGAGTAATCACAAATCATGAATGACTTCGTTGTGCTTGCATCTTGCATGTTCACTGTTAGAATGTATCGAGTTCAGGATCTATACATGAAACTGAGGGAGAAGGGCTAATCCGCCACAGACCACCTCCTCGTTTGTCACTCAGCGCTCCCCTCCGTGTTGCTCTCATGAACCCTTCCTGTCCGGCGCTCGTTCTTGCCAAGTCGGGTGCTGCACGCATGACGTCTCGCGCCCCGCTCTCCGCGCTGCCCACCGTCATTGCCGCCGCCGCCGCTCTACAAGGAGCTGCTGGATGAGGTCCTGTAGCTCCTAGATAGCATGAGCGCGACTGGAACGGTACAACTACGCCATTCGCGTGGCCCTCCGCTGCCAGCACCACGACAAGGTTCGCGTACTCCTCGCCAATGTCCTCCGTGCCGCGGTTGTGCCAGAGCATGCGCCGGACCCAACGTTGGTGTGTGCGCCCGATTCAACAGACGTCGACGTTGTTAGGCTCAAAATTAACGGAATGGCAATGAAGGAAAGGAAAATCTAAATGAATGGCAATGAAGGCAATATGTATTTTTGGATGGCAATGAAGGAATTGCTATAGCTTTTAGTGGCAGTGAAGGAATTCTCTCAAGAAGCATACAATAGCATACACGTTTGGGCTAGGGGCTACTTAATTTGGTGGAATGTGGTTGTCAAGTTCTAATGCCTTTTTTGTTTGTTTTACAGTGTCCGCTTTTCGGCATGTTAGTAGGTTGCAGAATTGAGTCATCCTTTGGTATGGTCAAATCTAGCCTAGGGCATATGTATCTTCTAAGTTTTTAATTTGAAATTTTGTTAAGTTTTTTTATATAATGAAACTAGATGGGATTTTCTGACTGGAAAAGAATATTTATCTCAAACATATATATAAAATTAGATGAATTGGGAATTAGAATCTAAGGCACAGATATTCCTTAAAAATATGGATAAATAATTTGAGCGCCACCTCAGACTTACTACAAGCATATAAGTAGTGAAACTACCTTTTCAATGGCATATACCTTTTTTCCATCAAATATATTAGCACAGCAAAACACATGTAAAGTAAACTATGTGGGAAGTCGTAGTTCTTACTCCGATTTCAGTGACAAAAAGACAGTTGGAACATTTAACAGCAGGAGCTCCAAAAGGATACATCAATAGTGTATCACATTGGCCACAATACACCTTACCAACTTGATGTTCTGCCAAGAAAGAAAAGAAGGTAAAACAATCTTTAAAGGACAAGAAAGTGCATAGATAAAAAAAGGGCAGACCCAGTGCCGGAGGCTCCCACATGAGTGGGGTCTGGGGAAGGGAAAAACCGAGGCAAACCTTCCCCCCGCAAAATCTGCGGAGAGGCTGCTTCGAACCCGTGACCTGGTGACTCAGTGAGACAGCTCTCACCCCTGCACCAGGCCTGCCCTTCGCATAGATAACTATAAGAATTACACTTGAGTCTGTAAAAGCTATTAAAATATGAAGAAGTCTATGAGAATAAGTTAATAGCAATTCTGAGCCAAAAAACATCCAAACATGCAAACAAGTTGCGTGAAAAACTTCAGAGGGCATATATAATGCAACTTAAAGCAAAGGCTAAGAATCCTCCGCTAAGTCTATGTTAATATACATGGCAAATCAAACTAGCTCTGTACAACTTAGGCAATGATATAGCAATGAAACTTTTGAGAGAAAAAAAAAAAAGAAGAGTCAAATAATTACAGCAGAATTACTTCCTCCAAGGAGGAATATAATTCATCTAGCCTTGTTCACTCTTCTGCAAGTATAAGTCCAGCTAGGAACCTTTTTTACTCATCCTGCTTTACTCCTTTTAAATGATACTAAATTTGAGTAACAATGCTGGTCACATTAATTCTGACAATGATTGATGGGCAATTTGGCATCTGGCATACACCTTAACTCCCATACATGAGTTCAAATGGACCTACTTTTGAGATTAAAGGGGTAAGAAGTAAGATGGTTGATAATGAATGATTTTCTCGAACAATGCAAGAGAGCTACGTGTCATCTCATTAAGAAGAAAATATAGTACAAGGAGAGAATAATGATGATTTCCAAAGAACAACAATTGAGAATAAGGTACCAGCAGAATAAGGTGAGATAACTTTTAAAGTAGAAATAGCACGCACCTTCCAGTACAAGGTTTATTGTCGAGCAACCAAAACACTGAACATGAACAGCGCCCCTAGGATATGCAACAAGCTGACGACAACATCCGCATACCATTTGACCAATTTCTGTGCAAGTCACCAGCTAAGTTAAAAACAACACAAAGAAAGGTACAAGCACCCCCACATTGCACACAGTATTTTTTAGAACTATAAATCTCTTTTAAAAAGATTGATCACTGTTATAACATCCTCGATTTCTTCATTGGTACGGAAACTGACTTCTTTAGTTTAGAAATTTAAAACTTTGTATCTAATAGTTTATTACTCCCTCTGTTCCAAATTGTAAGACGTTTTGACTTTTCTAGATACATTGTTTTTACTATGTATCTAGACATAGTGTATATCTAAGTGTATAGCAAAAGCTACGTATCTTAAAAAGCCAAAACGTTTTATAATTTGGAATTGAGGTAGTATTATATTAGGCCGCGGGTCACTCAGAAGAGTTTTTGCACAATGCATAGAGTGGCATCTTGATATTCAGTTTAAACATGAATCCACAAAAGTTTGGATTAAAACCTCAAGGTAAGAGCTTGCTTACAATTCCGCCCATACAGATTTTGTATTCTATTTATTATCCATAAAGAATTTGTTTCAACTGCAATCAAACAGCACAACTTCCTCAGCTCTAACACCACCTTTTCCGACTTTCATCAGTGCCACTCTTTTGTACTCAGATAAAGAGACGAATGTTGATAAATAAGGATTAAATGTCCTGAACCGTTGTATTGGAGACTAAAAAAGTAAACTCCACGTCCTACCTTTTATACATTGCTTTAATTACATATTGCACATTCCACAAAGCTCAAACTTACTGCAACTTAATAAGATCTATTTTTGGAATCCCCAAAGGAGCTATGCAGCATCCTGGTCAAGGGCCTAGCAGATGCCAGGACTGCTCACCAGTCTGCTTCTAAACCAGCCTAAAGAGAAGTTCTCAATTAATTGCCAATTTCTCTATTAATCATTCACAGTATCTAAAAGCTTGAGCTTTATGCATCCAACCTGTCTCATCTTCAAGCAAAACAACTTGGTACTGTATGCAATATGCATTGTTATAATAACTTATTTTGGCGTGCAGTTAAGTAAACGGATGCCCTTTGTCGAGTGCATTATTGTTGAATCAAAATATACCGGTACAACTAAATGAGATGCAAATAGAGCAACAAGAATATAAGATACTAGCACAGAACATACTTTCTGAATGCTAAGGTATCTAGACTTATTCTTTATTTTGTATATCATACTGTTTCAAGTTAAATTACATGGTAATAATGCAATGTTAACCATTTGCTCCGTTGACGTCCAGAAATTCCTCCAGTAGATGTGCAAGATCTATCAAAGGGTTTGTTCTGTTTACATTTAACTCATAAGCCATGAACCAGATAGATGACCAGAAAATTACTAAGTAAAAACAAAGAAAAGTAAGTCTGCAAAAAGATGGAAAAAAATACTGACCAAACTTCGAGCAAAGAGGTGGTGGTGGTGGCAGCTGATCCAAGGAGTCAAAATTTTCATAACCTGGGGGTGCAACCTCTGGTGAACAAGTAGTGTCCTTCACAGATGGAGAAGATGGGTGTTGCTCTGGCTGTGGCAATGATCTCTCTTCACTCTTCGATGGCGACTGCCGCAGGATTGCGCTTTCCATGTCTGTGCCTGTAGCTTGTAATGGAGATAGTGGCAGACTCGTTTTCTCTGACTTCACAGCCACAGGCATAATAGCTGATGCATGTGTAGAGGGGTCTATTGTCTCAGCTAGACAAGGAGAGATCAACTGAGAGGACTCCGAATTCTCAAAACTTCTGGGAGCTATCTCCAGTGATGTGGTTGCAGCATCCACTGCAGGGGAAGAAGCCTGTGGCTCTAGGTGTGGTGATTGGCCCTCACAACCATTTTCCGTTACTGGTGAAAGAACAGACCCATTGGCTTCTTCTGCCACTCCTGCTACAGGCAGTGGATGACACACTTCTTCCATTGTGACTATCTTCTTGGTCCCTGCATCAGCCAAGATGTCTGGAGTCTGATCAAGAGGAAGAACCAGGGCTGGTGGCAGCAGCTGCGAGGACTCAATATTCTCAGACCCTAAAAGCACCATCCCTAGTGAACAGGTTGTATGCTGTGCTACATGAGATGGCAGAAGGGGAGGTTTCGGTGGCAATGACTTCCCTGGTTTACTCGCTGATAGTGGTGCCAGGACAGGTTTGGCATCGATGTTTAAATCCATTGCATCTAATGCAGGCGGTGGCTGAGGAGCTTCCTCTGATATCACAGGCATGGCCTCATTATCGGCTGAATTTTGCAATACATGTGCAGTCTGCACCAGAGGTAGATAGGGAGGCTGTAGCTGTGTGAACTTTAAATTTTCAAACCCTGGAGGTGCTGTATCCGGTGAACAGGGAGTGGCTTGCATCATGGGAGAAGGTGATCTTGGCAGTGGCCCTTGCAATGAACTCCCAGTTCCACTCTCCAATTGCGGCAATAGGTTCCGGCTCTGAGTCTATATCCACATCCGTTCGCTCCGATGCCAGCACTGAGCATGCCTTTTCCATAAATCCCACTGCCATTGCCTTGGTGGGAGCCAAATCGTGCAACACGTACGTGGTTTCAGCTATGGGTTGAAGAATCGGTAGCGGTAGCCATGATGACTTGCAATTCTCAAAGCCTGGAGGTGGCATGTCTGGTGAACATGGTGCAGCTTCTGTTGTGGGAGAGCATGATCTTGGAAGTGTTTGCCCCTCTGCCCCTCTCTTCAACGGCGGAAGTAGGCCAGGTGAAGACAGTGACCCAGTTGCTGCATCTGGCGTCGTGCCCATGGCATTGGTGGCAGTCACTTGTACCACAGTGTGTGTGGATTCAACCAGAGGATTAGGATGTGACAATGGCAACCATTGAGACTTACAATCTTCAAACCCTGGAGGAGCCATCTCTGGCGAACAAGGCTCAGCTTCCATCCTGGAGGACGTTGTTGTCTCCTCTGGCTCCTGTAATGATCTCTGTGCTCCAATCTCTAATGGCCCCTCACCATCAATTGACTCCATCGCAGGCTGAGTACCTTCTTCTGAAGCCACTGCTGATACCTTGCCCGCTGCATTTGAACAGACATATGTGCTTTCAGCTAGAACATGAGTCTGCGGCGACTGTGCGAACTCCGAGTTTTCACCTGGCGACAGCCCAGCTGCTTTTCCTGGCGTTCCTGCCACTACCTCATCCACCGGTGCGTCTGGCGAGGCGCCTGTGCATCCATCCGGATGACACAGCGGCGATGGCTGTGCAGGCTCTGAATAATCACATGGAGCGGCCATTTCCGGGGACGGTGGTCGCGGCTGCTGCTGCGGCAACAACACTCCCAGCCAAATCTCCATCGGCGGCGTCGGCGGCGCGGACGCGTTGTGCAAGTGCGCGTCCGTAGACTCGGGAGACGGGGATGGCCGAGCGGCTTCCTGGGACGCCATTGCCACCGCCTCTGTAATGGAGAGGTCCGACGAAGCACGCGCGGCAGCAGCCGGAGCAGTACGTGGAGGGGACAGTGGCTGTGGCGCACCCGGCGACGCCTCCACGATTTGGGGAGATGGAGAGGGAGAAGGCGACGGGGACGGGGACGAGGACGAGGTCTCCACCTCGGGAGAAACTTCGACCGCCAAGTTCGCCGGAAGCGGCGAAGGGGAAGCGGACTTCTTCGGAGAGATCGCTTCATGTGCAGCCGCCGCCACTAGAAGAGGCGACGGCGGTTCCGCCTCATCGATCGGTAGTGGAGGCGGCTGGACCACCTCAGGATGCTCCGCTGTTGAGCTCTCTAGCGGTTCGGCTGTCCCGGGTGAGGCCGCCATGGGCGCCGGCGATGGCGGCGGTGAGCGGGACGGGGAAACCGGAGAGATGGCGGAGCGAGAAGCTGAAAAGAGATTACTGTTCATGCTTTCACTGGGCTTTAGCCTGCGTCGGACGGTTTTACCTCGTGAACAGCCCGCTGGTATGAAATGAAAACAATACCCTTTTTAGACTATTTTCTTACTTAAGAGCACGTTCGCTCGATGGTTTCAGCCAGGGCTTATCTGTCATGGTACAATATTTTTCTCTCACAATAAATCAGCATCAGTCGGGCTTATCAGACCAGAAACCAACCAGCGAACATGCTGTAAAATCCAACAAAAAAATACTCTAAAAGCTAATATGTCGTCGTAGCCTGCTTTTTCCTTTGATGAGAATACTATACATCACTTGAGTGTTGCAACACTCTTTCCTCATCGCCCGCGCTCTCATTCCCCACATGCCCGTGCTCGCGCCGACAAAGAAGACGGCGACGGCTAGGGTTCAGCGCCCTCTCTCTCTCCGAGTCTCCCTCTCTTCTTCCCCAACTTCGGCGGGCCCAGAAGGGGCTCAGGGGAAGCAGGCCCGCCAGGCGGTTGGGACGGCTGGAGGACGGCGGTTAGGGTTCTTCCAGCATAGGAGGCAGCTGGGCCAGGTCGGGGCAGGGTGCGTCCATGGCCATGGCGGCGGCGGGGAAGGGGAAGGGAAGAAGGAGGTCGCCGCAAGAGGTCTCGTCTGAGCTCTAGGGCTGGGGCCACGGCCGTGGAGCTTCTGCGAGACCCTATGCGGTGGTGGGCGCAGGGCGGTGAAAGCGTGTCGAGCTTCACGAAGAATACTAACAGACCAAGATCCTCGCTCCAGGTAACCCCATAGCAAGGATTTTGTTTGGCAGGGCGGCGGCGCGTCGAGCTTCACGAAGAAGACTAATGGACCAAGATCCTCGCTCCAGGTAACCTCGTAGCAAGGATTTTTTTTGGCAGCATGCCCTCGGCCACCATATTCAAAAGTCCTCCTTCCGTCGTCTTCGGGCGCTCCCACACGACGAAAAGGCTTGGTGGCACCATCTACGCCGCCCTGGCCCCCTTCTTCTTCTTCTTCTTCAGTTTTTGCTCCGCCTTCTTCGCGACTCCGGCATTGATTGACTCCCTTCTTCCCTATTGCGTGGATGTAAGCGTGGGTTTTCACTCGCATCTAGCAAGGGGGGAGGGGATGGGGCTTGGTGAGTGGTTGTGTGCCTTCCCCATCCCACTAGGAACAATAGGGTTAATAGAGCGTTCAACTTCGGTGGTCTTCAGCGAGATAGAGTGCAGGGCCTTCAAGTACGATATAGCACAAAATGATGGCTTAAATAAATAACATGCATAACTATGGGCAACAAAACACTATGAACCACCACAAAAAAGATACAAAATAATTCAAAGGCAAAATAGGCAATGTCGTCCTTCAACTTTTGCTCTTGGGTCAAGTTCGTCCCTGAACTCTTGCGAGGATCAATTTAGTCCTTGAACTCTTGCTCTCCGGTTCAATTTCGTCCTCCATCCGAGCTGGACGTCCACGTTAGCAACCAGTCAGCTTAGGGTTCCAACTCCTGTTGAAATGACCAATTTACCCCGCACTCATTTTGGACAGAGCAGCCGCATCGAGCCCGACCACTCCCTCTCCTACCAGGTCGCCGCCCCTCCCAGTAGCGTAGCTCGCCACCCCTCCCTACCAGCGTGCCGCCACCTCCGAGCCAGCTCGGCTCGCCGCCCCTCGGCACCCCCTCCCTAACAGTGAGTGCGGCCCCTCCCAACCACCTCGGGTCGCCGACCCTCGCCGCCCCCTCCCTGCCAGCAAGCCCGCCACAGCCAGGCCCGCTCGCCGCCCCTGAGCACCCCCCAGCCATCTCTCCAGTCGCCGACCCCATGGAAGCAGCTTGCTCGTAGGATTTGTTTGGACCAGAGGGGATTCAACAGCAGCACGACCACGATTTTGAGGCGAGCAACCAGGGGCTGGTCAGGGAGCCATGGCCCTCTTGGACGGAGGAGGAGGGAACCAACCAGCAGTACATAATGGTATGCTAATTCTTTTGCATTTTACTTCGTGGAGCTGAGAAGCATGTTGGCTTTTTTTTTAAATCTAATGTTAGAATGCATCCTGTAGGGCTAGGAGAAGATGGGAGATTCAGAGGTACTGGTTGTTAGATTTCATTTCAATGGGGTATTTGTTCTTGATGGATCATCAGTATAATATTGTAATGAAGATGAGAGAGTTTCACATATAGATAAGGATAAACTGTCCATCCCAGAACTTGAAGGCCATCTGATGGATCACACAACATTTAAGAGGTCTGTTAGGATGTATTGGTTGCCATTTGGTGCAGCAGTGAATACTGGGATGAGGATGCTGGTAGATGATAAGTCATGCCTTGATATGGTAGATGCAATAGGATCTAATGGCGCAGTGGATATATACACAGAATTAGTTGATGTGGACATAGCTAAATTTAGTGAAACGGATTTACAAGATGGAGCAGGAGATGAAGCTGTGTTTGACCTGTTTAGAGATGAAAATGTCTTAAATTTCGACGCACATCATGGTGGCCAAATCACAGAGGATGCACAGATTGGTGAACCAAATACTGAAGATGAACAAGAAGATGGTTTAGATAGTGAATATGTGACAATTATAAGAGTACTATCAAGGCTAACCCAGCATGGAAGGCTATAGCAATGAAGGAGACAATACAAGAAGATATGGGTGTCGAGATTTCATTGACAATGGCGAAAAGAGCAAAAGCAAAGGTTATTAGGAAGGTCATGGATGCTCGGAGTGGAGAGTACTCTAAGTTATTTGACTATGCCCTTGAGCTGAAGCACAGTAATCCTGGTAGCAGTGTGCATATTGCCCTTGATCCTGAGGAAGAGGACCATGTGTTTCAAAGAATGTATATTTGCTTTGATGCATGTCGAAGGGGTTTCTTAGATGGATGCAGGAGGATGATAGGGCTTGATGGTTGCTTTCTAAAGGGTCCTATGAAAGGGGAGCTGTTGTCAGCTATTGGGAGAGATGCAAATAATCAGATTTACCCTATAGCTTGGGCTGTTGTGGAATATGAGAATGTAAATTCATAGAAATGGTTTCTTGGGCACCTTCAAAAATATTTGAAAATCCCACATGGTGCTGAAGGATGGGTGTTCCTTACAGACAAACAAAAGGGTTTGCTGAAGGCAATTGACCTATTATTTCCAATGGCTGAGCATCAAATGTGTGCACGACACATTTATGCAAATTGGAGAAAAAAACATAGGCTACAGGAGTACCAAAAGAGATTTTGGAAGATTGCAAAGTCATGTAATGAGATACAGTTTAATCATTACATGAACAAGTTAGCTGCCAAGACACCTAAAGGATGGGCTGATTTGCAAAAAACAAAACCAGTACATTGGTGTCGGGCTTGGTTCAAAATTGGATCCAATTGCGAGTCAGTTGATAACAATGTGAGCGAATCATTCAATAGCTGGATTATAGATGCAAGATTTAAACCTATCCTTGCCATGTTAGAGGAAATACGTATCATGGTGACAAGAAGGATTCAAGAGAACATGAGCAATAGTGATAGATGGGCAATGACAACATGCCCCAACATTCTCAGGAAGGTAAATAAAATTAGGCATGCAACCCAATACTGTCATGTCCTATGGAATGGTGCAAATGGATTTGAAGTGAGGGACAAGAAATGGAGGTTCACGGTTGATCTAGGACAAAAGACATGCTCCTGTAGATATTGACAAGTCTCGGGTATCCCATGTCGACATGCTTGTGCAGCCCTGTTCACAATCTCAGATGAGCCGAACAATTATGTAAATACATGTTTCTCTATTGACCAATATAAGATAACTTATCAGCATGTCCTCCAACCGATAGAGCATGAGTCTGCTTGGCCTATGTCTCTAAATCCTAAACCGTTGCCTCCTAGAATGAAGAAGATGCCAGGTCGCCCACAAACAAAAAGGAGGATGGATCCTTCAAAACGAATGAACTCGAGCACTAAATCCTCTAGAGTTGGCAATAAAATCAGATGCACACGTTGCAACGGCCTTGGACACAACACTAAGACATGCTATGTTCAGCTGGTGTTTATACATTTCACCTTTTTAGCTTTCTATTTTGTTCCTGGAGATAATAACAACGAGATGGCTCTAACTTTTCCCCTTTGTTATGCAGCAGCAGGACTCGACATCGCATAATCCTTCTCACAATAGTAGTGCACCGTTGGCCATTGAAACATCACCATCTAAAGGAAAAGGTCAAGCTGCATCTCTGAGCACAAAGTCAACTAAAAGAAAGGCAATTGAGGGTTACGGATTGTATTATAGTGAAAGAACTGGTTCATCATTTATTCAGGTTAGTAAATGGTTAATGTACACTCAATCTCTATGCATTATTCCAATACATCAATCTAATTTCAATTGCTCTGCAGACTGGTCAAAAGAGAAGAGTAGTGCCCTTTGGGAAGTCAAAGTCTGAAGCTAAAGCCACTGCTGATGGGAATGCCTTTGTTGTCATTGAGACAAGTGCAGGTGGTGCCACCTCGTCTGCAAGAGCAACCATCAATGTTACAAGCGGGCGTGCAACTACAAAGATTAAATCTAGTTCAACTAGCAGAGGAAGGCCGAATAAATCGTGACAGTAGTTTGTATCATCTAAGAAGACTTTGTTGTCATTTGCATTACATTTTGTAATGGCTCTTGTGTCAGCATCTTATACTCAGAACCTGAAATATTTGTGTCAGCATCTGCTACTTTGAACCTGAAACATTGTGTCAATTTCATGCCTGTGTATCTATACATTTTGTCAGTTTCGTGCTGTCGATTTGGCGATGAACTACAGTGGAGGGGAAGGGGAGAGCTGGCTGTGCAGTAAGTTGCTAAATGGAAATGAGCTAGCTAGGAGAGAGAGACGGCTGTACATAAACAATGGCAAGGGCAATATGGACTTTGAACATGCATATCAAAATCCTAAGACATCTGGCTGAATCCGGCATGCCAACGTGGATGTCCAGCTCAGATGGAGGACGAAATTGAACCGAAGAGTAAGAGTTCGAGGACTAAATTGATCCTCGTAAGAGTTCAGGGACGAACTTGACCCAAGAGAAAAAGTTGAAGGACGACATTGCCTATTTTGCCTAATTCAAATTAGAGCTCCAATAGATAGACTATACTTTTAGGAAAAATCTGGTACTAATTTATTTTTCCCTAATTAAAAATGAGTTAGTTATATGTTTTCTAGAAAATAAACTAGTTATTATTATTATAAAAAACTAAAAAGCCACGTTCTAGAAAATAAACTAGTTATTATTATTATCAAAAACTAAAAAGCCATGTTCAGAACCAGCTAGATGACCAAATTTGTATAGTTTGACGGCTATAGACTTCTAGTTTTAGAATTGCATGGCCAAAATAACTTGGACAACAGTTGTGTGGTCAAAAATAAATTTCTTCTTATTTTTTTATTGTTAAAAAGTGCATATATTGTAAAGGTTTCGTGAAACTTTACTGCTACTCTCTCCGTTCCAAATTATAAGTCGCTTTGATTTTTTTTCCATATATTTTGCTATGTATCTAGATATATTATTATATTTAGATGCAATAGCAAAATGGATGAACTAAAAAAGTTAAAGCGACTTATAATTTAGAACGGATGGAGTATGAGTACATTGCTATCCTACTTTATTTTTTTGTCACATAATCTGATCCTCAGTTTGTTTGGGATTGCTCCACGAACTCCACCGTGGAGTAGGTCCACAAAACCCTGGAGTTTCTGGAGCATCTCTTTAGGTGTCCTCTCAACTTTATCATGTTTCATGAAGATAAAGTTTGTGTAGGTGCTCCTATTTAACCAAAAAATATTGAATAGAGCTGAAAAACATGGAGCGGGACAGTCCCAAATAGCAACTTATATATAAAAAAATTAAAAAGACTCTAACGTCATCATTTACCTAATGACATCAAACCTTGATCCCTGCTCACGCATCCGCGTTCGGTACAAATCATCATCCACTCGGAGCTCACACTTTTGCATCCTACCCGGTTCCGATACGAAGACCGGATGCACGTATTCGCGTCCCATATGAAGTCTCCGGAGCTCAAGCATCTACGTCTGATTACTGAGATCTAGTTCGAAAAATTACGATCCCGGTGCAACATACGGACATATATTTAGTAAGAACGAAAATTTGGTAGGGTTTTTCTAATATGGATGGACTATGGAGTCCGAACAAAAATTGCCCTCGCTCTTCTTCTTTTTTCTAAAAACGCCTGCTTGGTTTAATTCACAGGATATATACTACTACTCTACTAGTATACGGAGTACTGCTACTTTGGATTATACCATGATGAATGTGAAACGGGCACTCCGATTTAGGTATCGAGCTATCGAGAGTTCGAATTTTGAAGGCTCAAAGGTACTAGTACCAGCGGCAGTATCGCAGGTGGAGTTTCTTGGCTCGCAGGACGAGGACGAGGGGGAAAAGAAAAAGTTCAAACAAGAGCATCCGAATGCCACTAGAGCCGTGCACCCAGACGCAGGCACGCAGCGCTCGTTTAAAAATTTGCACATCGTGTCCGATCGAGTACTTCGTACAGTAGCGCCACTGGTTCCCCGGGCCCACTCGAAATTATTCCCCGCCCACTCATTTCCAACGCGCATTCACCCACGCCGCGCGTACACCACGCGCAAACCACCCAGCCACCCATAGCTTTTGTCCACCTTATGTATTTCCGGACCTGCACAAAAACACAACGGGCCCACTAATAAGAACATCAGGGACCCACCTGTCATTCCCAGTTTGATACTTTCTGGCCCTACGCTTGGGAGGGACGCGTAGCCAGCGCATGCCCCGAAGCTTTACCGTTCCCACCCATCGCAGCAAGCAGGAAGCAGGGGAGGCAGGTCGCACTCACACCCAGGTCGCTGACGTGGGACTCTATACAGAAGGGAAAAAATAGGAATAATAATCGATAATAAAAAATACGCATGTCTGATGAAATAGTTGTTGCTATCTGTTTCACGACGAATCCTTGGTTTAACTGAATAAGTAAAGAAAATGGGCCCTTTCTCTTCGTCTCAGATCGATGGATCTTCTCGATTGGAAGATCTCCCATGTTCTTATCAAACTTTTAGATCTTGACAGAACTATATATATATGGAAGCTTTATGTTGTAAATTACCAATATTGAGAGAAGTAAAGAATAGCCTTCCTATTTTTTTTTGTCTGTGTTCAACTTTCATCTACTGTGTTGATCGTGAGAGACGGAGGAAAGGTCCTAATCGCTGACAACATGTTTTATAACACACTTAGATGATTTAGGATTTTTGAGGAAAAGGCATTTTGAGAATTTTGTATTAATGTCAATTAGAAATTTCTAGAAGAAAATCCATGTGATTTTGAATGTTGCGTATTTTATACATTTGAAGTATATGGTCTATTTTTTTAATGTATGAGTAATTCAATCTTTTTTTGCTAAACAATAAAGAAGCTAGATAATGAAATAATTTTCTAAACCATGATATGTGCAAATCAGAGGGAGAACATCCCTGAGTTTGTAGGAATGCTGAATATTCTTAAGTGCACTTTATGTATTCTAGCTCGCTGCATTTAGTGAATAATAACCTCCGTGTTAAAATATGTGCGTGAATATTTTCCATAAAACTACATCATAGCATATATGAATGGGCCTACACTTATAGTTGGAGATACATGAATTTGAATTATTTTAAGCCTATGATAGGGGATATCTTTTGAAGTATGCTATTAAAGATCTAATATTGGCATTAGAGGGAGAGAAAGCCTATGTTAAATGCCAAATATTATTTTCATAGAAAAAAATGGTCTTAAGAGAAAAGTATTCCTTGAACCTTGAAGCAACAATAGTATCACGCACTAAATCAAATAATAGTTGACTAATGCTCTTGTGAAGCATGAAGCGGAGCATATGCCAAAAAATTTTAAAAATAAGAGGAGTAACTTGAAGTTATAAATCAGAAGTTGTGTTTACCAGTAGTAAACTAAATGTTGTATACAATCAAGCTAAAATCTACGAGGACGTCTGTGTATTCTAGTTTAGTGTGTACTTATTGGATAGAAATAAAATAAAACTCCTCCATTCTCATGAAGAGAACACCTCATGAAGAAGGTTAAGAACCTCATGAAGAGGATTATCATGAAGATAAAATCCAACACACTAAGTGCGCGTATCATTAGTGTTGGGATGCAGAACAATAAATTATCTCTTATTTGGAAAATGACAAAGAGATAGAATAATCTCACATTGTGAGAATAGTAGAAGAAAATAATAGTTGTCAACAACACTACCTCTAAAATTGTAAATGTTTCCCTTATGAGAACCCGGATCCGGAAACAAAGTCCATGGCAAAGTCGCCTGTAGCGATTATATCAGGTCAATGAAGAAAGCAATTGAGGTTGAATCTTCTACTCAGAAGAAATAAATGTTCTGCTATATATCTCTGGCAAATGAAATGAATGAATATTAAATATGTAGTTAATAAGTAGATTATGAAGATCCATATAGTTTCTGAAGAATATAAATCGCAACATATGGAAATTAAATCTCATACAAAGTATTAAGAAGTCTAAGATATAATATATTCCTCAATAAATATTGAAGTATTAAGAAAAGCATGTCCTAGAAGGAATAATCATCGAATGACTTTGTAGTGAATAACACTATCTCAGTGTGTATATCACATAATAATCTCTCATATAGTAGAGAATATATCTCATAGAAGAGAAATGTTATTCACTAAGAATGAGAACATCCTTGAAGGATTTAATCTATGAAGAATTTACCAGTCGATTCCTGAAAAGCATCATTAATTTCGAAGTGAATATAGACCCGAGAAAAAAATGAAGAATCCTAAATACCATGAAGGTGTCATACAAACACTCAGAAAGTCCATATTAAAAGGCTAGCAATGAAGTGATGATATCCTCTAAATACTATAGAAGGTATGAGAATATTGGTGATCTTGGCAATTGAATTATCACCAAAATGCCAAATGCAAGATTGGATTTATTATTTAGTGGTATAATCTAAATCCTAAAGATTTGTAGAACATATAATATAAAAATCCACTAAGGAAGAATTATAACTATTCAAACTTTAGTATGAGATTTGATACACTATCTCGAAGATATTTAATATTGTAACTTATTTACCCCTATAGTCCCCTGAAAGGATTTATTATCTGAAGGATAAAATTTATTTATTTTCACACAAATAATAAGTGGTTATTATGCATGAAGCATATTGCTCTTGTTTATACCCATATAATTCATAGAAGAATTATGAGCCAACTTTTTGAAAGATATAGTATTATGGTATTGCATACCATTAATTAAGCACACATTTATATAAAATATGATTTGAACAATGAAGTTCAAAATTTGGTTTTATGAGGGGAGCATATTTTTATTGAATCTATCTTAAAGGTAAACCACTGGAATTATAAAGATTAAGTAGATCATATATTTACTAAAACACTAAAGTTTATGTATAGATCATGAAGATCAATATCTATTCATGAAGAATAGAATATCCTGAAGAATACATGACCAAGAAGGTTAAATGTTGTACTCTTTTTCATTATGTAAGTTTTTACTTGAAGGTTTCTCACACAAGGTTTTTAATGAGACAACATGTGCAAAGCAGTTAACGAATGCAATGTACTCTTTTCTCCAAGAATCATTTTTTCCCATTGAGTTTTCGGATGGATTTTTTAACGAGGCAATGTGCATATCGTGGTAATCGTCCAAGGAGGAGTGTTGTAAAACATATGGACTATATCCTAGAAGGAAAAGAGAAGGAGGACGGTCCGCTTGCATGTGCTCTTACCAAAACTTGGCGAGGACTATATATATATATGTGGGACTATTGTAAATTACCAATATTGAGAAAGAATAGCCTCTCGATGAGAGATCCGAGAGAGGAATCCTAAGTTCGATTTGTGGAGATCTCGACGTTGGCGATCCGGCTTCAAATCGACGCGTGGCTCGCTCATTGGTTATCAACCAAGCACAACTCTTAGCTTAATCGAAGAAGAGCACAAGCAAGAAGGTAAAACACATAACTGATATGCAAATAAGAATGACGCGAATATCAATAGAGGGTTCTAGAACTCGGTTCCAAAGGACTAATATTAGTGGAGGAGATCAACTAGGCCCCGGATATTGTAAAAGATTTGAAATAAAGAATAGCCGATGAAAAACTAAACTCTAAACAAAACCCAATTGTGTTTTGTGCGACGGCTGTGTTTATAGTCTAAGACTCGACCTAGGGTTGGGGACGCCAGGGGTTGGGCACCCACAATTGATACATGGCCAAGTTGGCCTAAATAGGTGACGCAACACCTTGCCGTGGTCACAGGAAATGATCCATGGACCTTCCGGAGCTGGGACCAGATCCAAAACGACGGCGTCGTCGTCCCCTTCCAACATGTTTTATCGTATGAGAAAGTTACTAAACAGTGACCTCCTCGAATCCGAGGGCGACGTGGCGGTGAGTTGGGAACGAAGCTAATTGCAACTTGGGGAAGACCATGACGCGGTGTGTCCAAAGATGGCGATGTCTCATCATCATCCTCCCCCATGGAGTCGCCTCGACTCCATCTTCATGTCCTTCATTCATGTTTGTGTGTCTGTTCTACTTTCGTCTCATCAGATTGGCCGTGAGAGAGCGGAGAGGCCGGCAACATGTTTTATAACACAGTACCTCCCTCGTCGCTCTTCGGTCGGTCACCTCACTCGCTCACCCATCACGCCTCATGATTCATCAATTCATTCATGAACCGACGGCCACAACCGGGGCCCACCCGTCATTCTCACAGCCATCGCGGACGCGGGCCCCGCCTCACCACCCAACCGGGCGACGGACACGGAAGCCGACAGGCAGGGCCCGGACCACCGGCCCACGGTGAGGTCGGTTCACGCGAGGCGCCGAGGTCGCCGACAGAGACGGACGGCGGGCACGGAGACAGCCGAGTCGGAGCCGTGTGGAGGGAACCCTAGCCAACCACGTCACCGTCCACGTCACGCCCATCTATAAAGTGGAGCGAGCCACCTCCCAACCTGACCCTTCTTCGCCCCGTATCGTTTCCTCCTCTCTTTTCCCCTTCGCTTCGCCCCCCTGCCTGGCTTGGCGTCTACCCTGCGCGACCCGGACCGAATCCTCCTAAGAAGGCCGACGGCCGCCGCCGCCGTCGGTGCCCGCTGCCCCCCCGCCGCCGGCTCGGCTCCCGTTGGACACGGTAAAACCTCCTTCCTCCTCGTCCATGTCGCCGGGGTCGGGGTCCAAGGGGCCGCGCGCGCGGGGTCTCGCCGCCGACGCCGATCTGGGCGCCGCCGGCGTTGACCCCGCCCGATTCGCCCCGGGCTGCTGCTGGGCTGCGCGACCTGCGCCTCCGTGACCGATTACTGGGAATTTCTACTCGCCTGTGGGATTCTCGAGCGGATCAGCTGAGCACATCGACTTCAGCACCATTCTTTTGGTTGGGACGCGAATCGTAGAGCTTTCCTGGATTTTCCGAGGGCTCTTGCTCTTCGCAGATGTGGAGTCCTCCTCCTCCAGAGTCTAGTCCTGATTCTTCGGAATCTGGACTAGCTAAGGGCTCCTACTGTGCACGACTGCTAGACAGGATATTACGGATTTTTAGGTGTATATATATGCGTGTGCGCCTTCTAGAGGCATGATTCTCAAATCAGAGCCTTTCCTGTTTGAATCAGAGTTTGCTTTCGTGTTGAACTATGAGTGAATTTCCTTCTCTGCTGAAGATAAAGTCGGTTTAGGTCAGGGCTGTTTAATCCGTGTTCATATATGTATATGTATGTATGGATGATACAGGAAGCTGTTGCTTGCGATCTGATTAAGGCTTTTTGCTTGCTATTCTGATTTCTTTTTCAGAGTTTGGAGTAAAGAAATCAACCTTGCGTCTGTGTTCTGTCTGTGCTGCTTTGCTTTGGATTCCAGAAAAAAAATTCACATCTCACTGACCTGAGATAACTATGCCGAAGGACAGGAGCTCCCGCGTTTCCTCTTATGAGAGCCGTCGGGCTCGTGCCTCCCCATACATCTCAGCGTCTCATGGACAGAGCAGTTCTCGCCGGTCAGAAGAGTCTTCTGCGGCTGCAGCAGTGGCAGCAGCAAAGCAAGCTGCAGAGTGGGAGGATGTTCGGTGCCCGGTCTGCATGGACCACCCGCACAACGCTGTCCTGCTGGTCTGCTCGTCGCATGAGAAGGGCTGCCGCCCCTTCATGTGTGACACCAGCTCGCGCCACTCCAATTGCTATGACCAGTACCGAAAGGCCTCCAAGGATTCCTCCAAGGATTCAGGGACAGAGTGCAGCGAGTGCCAGCAGCAGGTTCAGCTCTCGTGCCCACTGTGCCGTGGGCCAGTCAGCGATTGCATCAAGGAGTACGACGCGCGAAGGTACATGAACACCAAGGTCCGATCGTGCACCATGGAGTCGTGCGAGTTCAGGGGCGCCTACCATGAGCTGAGGAAGCATGCTAGGGTGGAGCATCCAGCGGCGAGGCCAATGGAGGTAGACCCTGAACGGCAGCGGGATTGGCACCGGATGGAGCAGCAGCGGGACCTTGGGGACTTGATGAGCATGCTGCGTTCAGGGTTCAGCAGCAATATCGAGGACGACAGTGGTGGACTTGGAGCCATCGAAGAAGGGGAAGAGGAAGCTGAAAGGACTCCGACCGCCATAACAATGGTCTTCATCATGCCATCTAGAGGCTCGATCATGCAGTACTTAACAGAACGCAGTAGGGCGATCATTCTGGTCAGTCGGAGGCGAGCAAGCAGTGGCAGTGGTGATGCTGAAGCCACAGCACCAGACAACGAGGAAGGTGATGACCCTATGCCATCGGCGGAGGCATCTGCTGGTTCACAGCATGCTTCTGAAGAAGAGGAGGCTGATGGTGACCCTGCCCAATGACAGAAGTCAGCTGGCAGGAGGTGTGCCATGGCATCTTCTTAGCCTGAAGATCCCGACCAGCATAATGGTATGCGGTGCTGTGTGCTGGGGAAGAAAAACATGGATGCAGGTGCCATCAAGGTGTAGTCAGGACAATCTGTCTACCCTGAAGAAGAATCGAGGGGAATCAGCATCGTGGGAAGGGTTGAAGAACGTGGTGGATCGGTAGTCGGGTCTCTGGTGCCCTTTCTAATGTATCTGCTGGGTTCTCTGTAGCAGTGGAGGGGAAAAAACAATTGGGTGGTTGTATCTATCTTGTCTGAATGGATTTCCTTTCCCCTGCGTTGTAATTCTCTCTCATATATTATCATGAAATAGATTTGGCCGTATTTGCACTGCATAATTTAATCTTTGTACGGCGTCTAAGATTGACCATACTGCTGCTGAAGATCGCTCGTGTGGACTTAGTCCTATTCTTTTTCTTCTCTATAATATACAGAGGACATGCCATAAGTAACTCTCGCCAGCTGTAGTTTCTTGCGACTCTGTATAAGAGGAGCAACTCTCTCGGTAAATAAAATGCATGCAGGTTTGATAGCTGTACTAGCATCTGTTTCTTGTTGCTGCTGCTCGGCCATGGATGAAGATGAAGAGACGAGGCCAAGCAGCATGTGCAAGAAGAACGAGTGCCTCAAGTGTTAAAAATCAGTGAACAACTCCTCGCTCTTCTCTGCCTAACTCGCTAGCAGAATTCCCCCCCTCGTCCTTGCAACTATAGCTACTGCCAGTGCTGCTTCTGCGAGTGGTTATGCTCTGACGACTGCAAGTGCGAGGGGTGCTGGAACAGGGTGGACTGGAGAATATTAGTGGAGGAGCACGCCGAGTTGAGACTCAACACGAAGCCCAGCGCGTCGCAGTAGAAGATCTCCATCCATGTAGACGCATCCAGCTCGGTAAAGTTACCTGTATCAGCGCAACAATGTCTTTCTTTTCTTTTGATGAAAATAAGATAGCAAAAGTATCTTTCTTTCTTTTTTATGAAAATAAGATATTTTTTTTGATAAGGATGAAAATAAGATATTGGCCTCGTTCGGCTGGTGCTAAACAGCACTGTAGCCGGAGGAAAAAAACACTGTAGCCGGCTGATTCCTCTCATATATTCATCTAAATTCCTCCCAGCGAACGGGGCTATTGACTTCACCCTGATAGAAGAGCAGAGTAGGCATTTTTTTAGGAATAGCAAAGTAGGCATGTCAAGGGTTGCACTTGCACCTGCAAGAAGTCGGGATGCAAGAAAACCTAATGCGAGTGTTTCAAGGTATACATGGCAATCATTGGTCTCTGATGCCCATTGCTTACTTGATTCTGATGATCGTGTATTATGTTACTAAAATCTTATTGCTTGAACTGTGATTCTGAAGAACCAGGTTGCGTGCACTGTGAGATGAAGAGTCGCTACGGCCAACCGAAGGTGTGGCTGGAAACATCACAGCAATTGCCGATCCTCAGGATTCTACCACACATGTTCATGAAGTCGGGAACCGGTTAGCTCTTGACCTTGACATTTTTGTTATTTTTCAAAGGTGATTTGCAGTCCTGCTCTGCTCCCGAACGCATATGTAGTGTGGTGGCAAGTGCTCCTGGTGGTGACTGGTGAGCCACTCGGCCAAGACTAGTTTTCCTGGTGATCTGTTCATAAATCATAGCAGTTCTTGTGATAGTATATTTCATTGGAATAGCACAAAGACTGTCATCAAATGAATATAGTAAACGATAAACTGCTGCATATTAGGTGCCACGTCAGTATTTTGATGTTTGTATTCATGTTGACATGATTGCACGCAGTCCCTCAAACCTTTACAATTGCGACACGGACAACAACAGCCAGATCAGATTCCGATGCAAGTTGAGATTGATGAAGATGATCAACTGCAGAATATACATTGGTAATAGGTATGATTGCGCCTGGCATTAGATATCCCCCATGTACCAATTGCAACTTTGAGGATTGCTCTATTTGTTGACTTAGTGTGGTACTTAGCGATGAATTTTGTCGACCATTGCTCATTGTAATGCTGTAATACTTGAACATTGAAGCTGCAAAGTCTGATCTTGTCTTTTAATGATTGTGGAAATATGTTATGTTGCAAACTCACATGTATATAACTGAACACGCAGTAAGCTGATCTTGAGCACAACTGTAAAGAGCATTACTACTGAAGTAACTAAACAAGCAATACAATACTACATTACAGGCATCCTCTTTAGTGGTAGATAAACTAACATGGTATGTATCAGTGAGGAAAGTACATGGGGGTTACAGCCTACCAAGCCATGACAATCAACTCACAATTCACATAGCCTATCAACCTTCTGCATATTGTCAATACCTGTCTCTATGTATATCACTATTAAAGCCATCGCACTGCCAACGTATTTAATTTTCAGATTAGCAACTTGGGCGCTCAAAGTCCCAACGTTGACCTGAGCCACTTGCTGACGTCGTCCATCTCTTCAGGGGTAGTATAGTGACCAAGTCTGCATTAAAAAAAAGAGAACATTTTGTGACTTTTTAATCTCTGTGGGAAAAAACTGATGGTAAAGCATTCATGACAAAATTTGAGAATATCAGTACCCATTGTAGGGTTTGAAATAGGTATACTGGAATCCCGAGTTCCGTAGAATCTCAGCTGACCTTTCACCGTTCCTGTAGGTGACAACCTCATCGGCTGCAAAAACATAAAGAAATAAACCATTTTTGGATCTTTAGAGCTTGCAGTAGATTAACAAATTTAAACACATCAATGCTAACCTATTCCGTGGTTGAGCAGGATTGGCAAGCTAGAAGCTTTTCTAAGAGCAAGCTGCGAGCTCTCAATCTTGCTCCTTAGGGTCCTGAACAAGTAAACATAAGAGCAGTCTATTTAGGATGCATTTTAAGATAACGTATTAACATAACCATGTTTTCCGGAAATTAGAAGGTTGAAGTCACACCTTGAGCAAGGAAGCCAGCCACTTAAACCAACGACGACGCGGAGGTTGATCGGATAGGCAATGCCATTTGTGAATCTCCCATGAGCATAGCATGCAGCAGAGTGGAGGGCAGCGGCAGCACCCATGCTGAACCCCCCTATCCCAAGGCTCACTGACATTGCAATTTCATCAGCATTAACAACATGAAATTCCACAACGATTGATATTTGTATATATTCTTGGTGATGTTTGACGTACTCAACTAAAAGTAAAATTGCATAAATAATTGTAAGGAAAAAATAGAAACTAGTATCTCGCAAAAAAAAGAAACTAGTAATATGCTGTCAGATCAGTTTCTATTGGTGTTTTACTGTTTACACGTTTTCCTTTGTTTTACTGATATATTATTGTGTAAATCCTAAATCCTGAAGTTAGCTATAGTACCATCAGATGGCTCGGAGGATAGTAGGTTTGCCACATGCGCGGCTGAAGCATCGAGCCCTTCGACATCAGCATGGCCATCCAATGAAGTTTCGTCCACATCAAACCCTGTTTTATTTCAGAGAAGAAACAGAGAATCATTTCTTGCTCACATAAAGATACCCTAGAAGCTCGATCAGGAAAGCAAAGTTGCAGGCTTTTGAGCCCAGTCGATAAGTCATATATAGAGTTGAGAAACCCACATGCAGTGCAAGGGAATCCACCGAAAGCCGCGACAGGCCGTGTTGGTGCAGTAGGGCAAATCCATTTAACCTGCACAAGGATGAGATGGGTTTCAGAGTCAGTGGACATAAAATGCAGGGGCAATTCTATGGCTATTCTATTCCTATCTAGTGAGGTGGATAAGGTTTATTAATCTGCAGATAACAGCAGTTATTATATATAGATGTATGTAGATAGAGGAATAGTAGCTAGGTATTAGGTGTGTCTGCATGAATAACTCAATTGCAAAAGTGAAAGTGTAGCATGATTTCTTACATTGGGCAGTGGAAGAGAATCCAGGAGCTGGGACCAGCTGCAAATGGGAACAAAAATGAAAAGGATAAGGAAAACATATTAGGCCAATGTCTGAAGTATTGCAGCAAGTGAGCAACTGGTGCTGATATTTTAGCTGTAGCTTGTGTGAAATTGACAGTTTGTTACATTACATATTGATTTGAGGGGCTCTAGGAGCACATACATATACATAGGATTCAATCTCTTTGCCCTTACTGAATCTTATAGCTTGCTGGCCTAACATTATCTGGCAATGGAATAGTATCCTTTACTCGCAAAATTAAGCACGCTGTTTATATTAGGGCTCGTTCGGTTTTCTTGGAATGAGGTTAGGAACCAATCCGGCAGATCAATTGTTATACAAATTAGCCTATCATTCTAGCCGATTCCGAGGCAACCGAACAAGCCCTTAGTCGGTATTGATCTGAAAAGGTCGCACACGACACAAGTGGAGAAAGAACATTTGAAGGAAGCTGATGACACTTTGGACAGTTTGCACATGCATATTGAGGGAAATAAAGCAAAAATATCATGCCAGGCATAAAATATCAGAGCGAGAGAGCAGGACAAGACACACACCAGGAAATTCTGGGTAATAATTTAATTTAATTAATGCCCATGCATCAATCACAAAAACCTGAGGTGCTCGATGCATTGTTCTGGTCGGCAGACAGAACCTTGTTAGCTTGCATGCATGAGCTAACCCCACAGTTGTCCAACAATATTTAATCTACTCTCTGTATTGCTATTGCTCTCCATCCATAAAAGAATTCTATTCTATTAATGATGCTTCAATTTCACGACCTTCAGCGCTTGATGAGTTTATTCTTTTCTTTTCAGGAAAAGAAAAAACGTAAATCCTACATATATCTCGATCATGAGCATGAACAACGTCCCTGTCGTACGTATAGGATCGGACGTGCATGAAGTGCTTTCTTTTTGGGACGAAAGAGTGGCGCAACTAACGTCAGCTAGCTCCTGCTTCCTTATCCCCTCTCCCTCTTGTATAGTCTTGTTGTTGTACCGGAGGAAAAGGCCAATGGCCGCAGCACTAGCTAGTAGTTCATTGTTGTTTATTTGTTAGGTAGCAATTAAGCTATTGGAAGAGGCAGCATATATAGTAGCACAATACTAGGAATATATGCATGCAAGGACACAAATATGGTACGGTGTGGCCCTGGCTATCAATCAACTATTTGTAGCAATGGGGGAGGGAATGAAGTTATGGTTTGGTGTTTACGACATACCTGGTGCCATTGTCGCCGAGGCCATGGAGCCACACAATGGTGGCCTGGTGCCTCCCCTTGGGCCTCACCACGTACGTCCGGCCGTACTCCACACGCCGCCCCCCTCGCCCGCCTGCATCCATGGCCGGCCTAGGTTAGTTAGTTAGTTAACCACGCATCATGCATCTAGCTTGCTTGGATCCATGCAGAGGCCTTGGAGCTACAGCTAGCAGCCAGGCACAAGCTAAGAAAGAGCAAGAACGACGACAGCAATGGAACACACAGACCAGAAGAGCTGCCCCCATAGCTCATGGTGTCGGTCTCCGGCTCTCCGCTGCCGCTGGTGCCTAGCTACAGATCGAGCACCACCACCACTGGAAGGTAGCTACAAGATCGAACGAGCCACTGGCCAGCCGGCGATGGAGACGACGACGGACTGCTACTGCAAGTACGAGTACGACGAGCAAGGCTCAAGTGAAGAAAAGCTTGCTTGGCTTGGCTTGTTGGTGGTTGCTGCTGTTGCAAGTACGATGTGCACAGGCCCAATTCACCTCTATTTATAGCGCGAGCTCGACAGGGACGGCGAGGCGATGGAATAATATGAACAACTGCCAGCACCAGCCTTCAGGCTGCTGCTTGGCGGCCCGGCGCCCGCCATGCGTCCCTGCGGGGCGTCGTGCGAAGCGAATCCGGGCGTCGCATGGAAAGCGAGAGCATGGATTGCTAGTTTGTTACAGCTAAGAAGGGCCTATAAGGAAACAACCTAAGCTAGCCTTAGCCGTTTGGGAGGTAGGAGCAGCAGGATAAAAAGGCTGGATCCTTTTTTTTTTTTTCCTTTTTATTGTTTGCTTTTTTTTGGGGGGGTTGAGGGGAGGGTAGAAGAATCTCACTCCACGACTCACCTTAGCAGTTGCATGCAGTGCTCCTTGTTCTGTTTCTGTGTGAATTGAGTTCAGATTTGCAGTGTGGTCTAGTCCAAGAAAAAAATATTAGTGCAGTGAAATAAAAATAATTTAGGTACAGAAATAAAAGGTCTAAGAAAAAATATTGCAGTGAAACAAAAGGATTTAGCTGTCCAAGAAAAAAAAATCTACCAGATTGTTTGCATGTTCCTGTCTAAGGACAAAAAAAAACCAACAGCAAATTTAAATAAAATGTCTTGGTACATAAATAAAATGTTCTAGAAAACCAGGTACCACTTTTTCTATCATGGAAGGACGCATAATTCGATGGTTAGAAAAGTAACATGTTTTATGCGTTGTAATAATTTACTAATTTGTCAACAGTTAAATAAACAGTTCCGTTTTCTTAGTTACATGAAGGAAGAATTACTTCGGTGTTGTTGAATAAGTGTACAATGGGAAAATGTCCAGTCCAAATAATCACGTCTTCGGTGATATCATAAAAACGCTTTAGAAAAATATACTTAGGAATTTCCAAAAATTTCAAAACAACGCACACCCATAATGCATCTATAGGTGTGCACTACCGTAAAAGTTAAGATGCAAACTCATTTTGTAAAATAATCATAAGAAAATAACAAATTTCTGCTGCACAATAAAATAAGGAATTTGTCTTCTAGTGTATATACACCTGAAATTTGTTATTTTTGAACTTTTCTAGATTGAATTTGAATCCCAACCTTTTATATGGTAATATAAATCTAAACATACACTATGGACGTGCATCATCTCAAAAAATTTGAAACTCGTAAATATGTTTTTTCTAGGATTTTTCACGATCTCATTGAATATGTGTTTTGCCCTGAATATTTTTGCGTGCACTTTTAATATCTGTGGCCTTTACATTACTGATCAGTTGCACGACGCTGCGTGCGCGTGACGACAGTGTGAGACAAGGATTATGGAGGAACTAACAAGGTGGCACACAGAGCACAGCATCACACGGGTCCCAGCAAGGGCCTAGCTCTCTCTCTATGCCAATTCCTAGCAGGCTAGCTATGCCCTGTCCATGCAGGATCAAGGAGAGGCATGGATGCAATTGTGTTACATGGCCGGAGCGAATTCGAATCGATGCAGCCTCGGCAGTGGAGGGAGAACCGGAAATATAAAAATATTACTTTGTATTCCAAAAAGAAAACATATAAATATTGCTTAAGGACCCCCTTTCAGCCGCGCCTAGCTATCTATCACCACCCGATTTCCCCTCTTTGATCTTGATCAAGAACTAATGCCCACTAATCCGGTACAATTCCTGAATATTGTATATTTATATATAACCTTATTAACCGAATTGACAAGGAATAAGCATATAACTATACTGTTTTTTTAGAAAAGGGAATATATTAATATTCCAGCTTCATCGATGAATGTATATAGTTGTTCCTTATTACAGACAAGAATAAAACGGTCCAAGGAATCTCAAAAACAAAGTTTTGAGCCATAGCGAAAACACAAGCTTTTTCAAAAAAACACAACTAAAAAGCAAGTCTGTTGCTGAATCGCCAGCCGTATCTAGCAAACACCTCCATCGCAATTGTCTCAATAGATCTACATCCTATCTTCATCGAATGACGATCCTCCTCCTTCTGTAGTAGGGACCAGGACCTGGCCCAGTAAGTCCCCCTGAAGATAACCTGCAAATAAGATGGTGCTAGGATCTTGTCAAACACAATGTCATTCCGAGTTAACCAAATCGCCCAACATATAACACTTGCACCCACAAGAATTTGAGATTTCAGTTTCCTATTTACCCCATCCAACCAACCTGTAAATAAATTGTGTACACTAGTTGAAGGTATTATATTAAAGAAAACCTGAACAATTCTCCACATGAATTTAGCATAATGACAATCAAAGAGTAAATGTTGTATGGACTCATTTGAAGAATAGAAACAACACCTCCTATCTCCTTGCCACTCTCGCCTCGCCAAATTATCTTTTGTTAAATTTACTCTCTTGTACAAGTACCACATGAAAACTTTGATTTTGAGAGGTAGTTTAAGTTTCCAGATTAAAGTACTATACGATATAGCTTGTGTTCCTAACAAAGTTCTGTACATGGAGTTGACCGAGTACAACCCATTGTGATGTAGCCCCCACACAAAGCGATCTCTTTGGTTCGTTAGTTGTACATCTACAACCATGGCCACCACTTCGTGCCATGCTCGCAAATTCGCACCCATCAAAGATCTCCTGAAGGCTATATTTAATGGTGTCGTAGCCAACACTGACCCTACAGTCGCACTTTTTCTTCTCACAATGTTATATAGTGTAGGGAAGAGCGATTTTAGAGGACGCGGTCTTATCCACGAATCCTCCCAAAAACACACTTGAGACCCATCACCTAGATCAAACTTACTCATCGAGAGGAACTCTCCCTTGACCTTCATGAGGACAGCCCAAAACTGAGAATCCCCGGGCATGTATTGAACCTATGTTAAGGTTTTGTCCCTTAAATATTTATTCGTAAGTAATTGTTGCCAGACCCCGTCTCTATTAATTAGTTTAAAAAGCCATTTGCTTAGGAGACACTTATTGTGAACATCTAAATTTAAGACACCCAACCCTTCTTGGTCTTTGGGTGTACAAACTACCTCCCATTTCGTCAATCTATATTTTATCTTGTGTTCATCACTCTGCCAAAAAAACGAGATCTAAAATAGTCCAACCTTTTCAAAACCCCTCTAGGTATTTCAAAAAAGGACATCATGAATATGGGAAGACTGCTTAGAATAGAGTTAATTAGGACAAGCCTTCCACCTACCGACAACATCTTACTCCTCCAACAGCTTAGTCTCTTTTGAAATCTTTCCTCAACATGTTTCTAGTCCCTATTCATGAGCTTTCTATGGTGCATAGGAATTCCTAGGTATCTAAAGGGTAACGACCCTACATTACACCCAAAGATTTGAGCATATTCATTTTGATTAGCTTTAGCTGCTCTAAAGCAAAACAATTCACTTTTATGAAAATTGATCTTTAGCCCTGACAACTGTTCAAAAGCATAAAGCAAGAGCTTCATGTTTTTGGCCGTCTCTAGATCATTATCCATAAATATAATAGTGTCATCTACGTACCGAAGGACCGAGAGTCCGTCCTCTACCAGATGCGGAACAACCCCTTCAATTTTTTCAGCTTTTTTTGCTCGAGAAATAAGTATAGCCAACATATCAACCACTGTATTAAAAAGGATTGGAGATAACGGATCTCCCTTACGCACTCCTTTCCTTGTTTGGAAATAATAGTCTAAATTATCATTGACCTTTATTGCAATACTCCCTCTAGACATGGCTTTTGAAATCCATTCACACCAAGTTAGTGAGAATCCTTTCATCCTGAGGACTTGCTGTATGAAAGGCCACTTTGGCTTATCATATGCTTTCTCAAAGTCTAGCTTTAAGATGACACCATTTTGTTTTTTTCTATGCAACTCATGAATAGTTTCATGTAAAATCACAACTCCTTCCATTATATAGCGACCCGGAACAAAGGCCGTCTGAGACGGTCTGTCGACATGAAAATGTCAACACACAGCAAGCCGAAAGGATCTGCTTGATGGAGCAAGGCTGGATATCCACTTGGCTTCAACGCAGGACTCAGTCGACCCTACAAATTCCTCTCGAGGCGTGCCAGTCAATTTGACATGCAATTGACAAGAAGAGAAAGTTTATCAGTAATTTAAGGTGGAACATGCCGGTCTTTGGCCAGACAGATCCAAGTGTGCCGCTTCGGGAGCAGTCAATGTTAGCCCACGGAGATATCCGACCACTCACTAATGTTGTCGAGCACTCACTAGTGATGCTGACCACGAACTATCATCATCATATCTCTGGTCATGGTGTGTGGTCGGACAACGTTAGTCGTGGTCGGCAATGAGTGAAATCGATCGAATAGCCGATACGAGAAGAAATCGGCTGTTAAGGACTGTAAAGCTTGTGGGTTGTGATTGATTTTATGTTGACAAATACAATGCACGTAGATGTAAGTAAGATCACCAGCTAGATGAGTATTACCAGTATGAAGCATTGAGCCGATGAATCTAACGAGAAAGGATATATCATTCAAACAAATCGACTTTCTAGTATAAATAGACCTAGAAACGTTCTGAATCTAATATGTTACCATCAACAGTGAGGTTCGACCGGATCGATGTCAGCTATGATGATAATAACAAAATAGAA